TGAATGAGTTAAGTCGGTCAGATGATAGGACTGGTCCTTGGGTGCAGAAGGATCAATAAACAGTAAGGGACGGGAAACTCAAATAGGTCAGAGAGCCCAGATTTTATGAAAACTGTGTGGTTCCTTGTCCATAATCTTTTATTTACTTGAAACCCCAGGCAGATGAGCCTACTTCTGTTCATTGACCTGCTGGGGATGCTTCACAGCCTGCCCAGAGACGATGCCTCTGAAGCCCCACAAGGTTTTTCCGTGGCCACTTAAAGAGTCTCAACAGTTGCCCAGCTTTAATTAATATTCCACCATTGTATTTGGAGAGGAGCCAGTTGCTGAAACAGCTGTCTAAGTGAAAGGAAGATTTTTTTAACTTATATTCGCTGGGTCTGGTAAACTTTATTAGCTGAGAGTCCGAGTTCTCGGGTGATAGGAACTACTGTTTTTTGCAAGTTCGCTCAGCTTGAGGCTCCCGCAGAACTGTTCTAATGCCCGGCGGGTCTGCTGGCATTTACCTTGGAAGGCGATGGCAGGTTTGATTCTTTGCGATTTGGTCCTCAAGTCCAAAGCTGTGGTGGCAATGTGTTGCTGAGAATCTCCTACAAAGCAGGAAGAAGCACACTACTGATCATTACAGCGTAAAACACCACAAGTCATTTAAGCTGATCGTCAAGTAATGACAAAGAGGATTCAGATGGGGCCTTAATCTTGGATCCACCCGGAGTGTGAGATGACAATTCTCATTACTTCTTGGATTCCCTCAGTCCTGGTAGAAAATCAAGATGAGCAGAAACTCTCATTTTGTGAACAGACAACTATTAAAAGCACATTAATAATCTGTAGTGGGTATAGCATATGCCTTTTAAAAAGATTTGCTGCTTGTTTCTCTGTGGTAGAGACGCAGGACTTCTCCAACCTAATTACAAAGCAATCAAACAATTTAATTAATCTGGAAATCGCTTTCTTAACCATAACTGCCTCTAAAATGAGGCACCCTGTGCACAGCCATTAGGTCAAGTCCCATTTTGTTATATTGCCTGTGTATTGGCTGTGCTGATCCTCCCCCCCTCCCCCCCCCCGCGCTGCCCCCCGCCCCATCCCTGGGATCCTGGAGTTAATTACCTACCAAATGTCTGACCACAAGGAAGGTTTCCTTTACTGGGTCAAAACATCAGCGGTGATAACAGCATTCTATAAAGTGTCCTAGCACTCGAACATCCAAGAGCCAGCAAATCCCGGGGAGCAGCAGGATTTGAGTTATAAGCAAGTGCTGCACATATGGGCAGAGAATTCACTGGCACCAGTTTTCATTTGAGAGTCTCTCAGGTATTGCTTTGCAGATGGGTGGATGAATTCAGAGAGCAGGGCTGTGAGGAGTGAAGGTCATGTATAGGACTCTGCTTTCAGTCCCGTCTTGCTTTCTCATCCTGGGGACTCGCTCTGCATGTCCTCGGCAGCCTGGCCATCACTTCCCAAGTTAAGGTTACACATAGAAGATGTGCTTTTTAATTCACTCTGTTCTAAAGGAGCAGTATTTTGCTCACTGTATAACAAAATGTGTCCCTACGGCTTCGGAGACTGAGTACATAACATAGAAATCAGCTTTTATTTCAATCAGAACACAGCTTTCCAAGATGGGCTGCATCACTCTGTTGGTTAAGCATCTGACTCTTGATTTCAGCTCAGGTCACGATCTCAGGGTCCTGGGATCGAGCCTGGGAGTCAGGCTCCGTGCTGTTGGAGCCTGCTTAAGATTCTCTCTCTCCCTCTCCCTCTCCCCTTCTGTCTCCAAAAAACAAAACAAAACAGAAACAGAAACAAAGGTTAACTCCCACGTATCTAATCTCCTAATCTTGTTACTCCTCCTTAAGGAAAATTGAGAAATATTCTAATAACCCAAAAATCTACAGAATACTCATCTACCCTTTTCATATCCTTTTTTCCCCCCTTTTCATATCCTGTTACAACCATTCCACGTCTCTCTCGAAACTCCCTAACCACAGGCAGTCATTCTCCCACGATGGATTGTCAGCTGCCCATAGATTGCCCATGCTGGAAATGTTGGTCACTTCATTTCTAGTCCATCACCAACTATGCTTGGTTTGCTCACCAAAATATGTTTTCTGTTGGCCTTTCACATCCTTATCTAAGCTCCTACACTTCTGTTTGGCCACTCATCTGTCCACCCAACACAATCATGCCAGGTGGAAATCTCCAGCATCTCTCTCTTGCCCACTGATGTGTTAAGGCCTTCCCTGGGTTAATATCAATAAACATAGTCCACAATGTATTGGCTTTATCGGTCTTAATCTCCTACTGCCAGGATATCTATCTCTACTGTGTTGCCCTCCTCTGTTTGGATTGTTTCTGTCCCCTGCCTCAGCCTTTTTCATTTCTTCTCTTGGGCTTGCTCAGCTGTCCTCAGGTTAAGGTATAGTCTGTTGCCTTTAATGAATTATCAGGTATTCTAGTTCAGATCACCATCATTTTCTCTAACATCCTACTAGATTTAAGAGCCTTTAGGATAGTGTGTGTGTGTGGGGGGGGTGTACATGTGTACACACATTGGCATTTAAACCCAGCTCTTGATCTGCCATGAAACAGGAAGAAAGATCTGTTAGTAGCGATATTATGCAGATGGCTCTGTAGTCTTGAAGTTAGAAATGTGGGAATTTGTGTTTGATTTTCTAGCAAGGTAGGAGTCAATGAGAAGAAAATGAGGAACATTTTCAATTGATGGACTTAGAAGGGCAGCACAAAATGGTGAGGCAAAACACAAGAGATGAGAAATGGTTAATGGCAGCCTTGATTTTTTTAAAAATTATTAAAAGCAGAGTTGAACTCACCTCACTCTTGTATATCTCTGTCTGTGCGTGTTCATCTTCAAGTGATGGGTTGCCATGTGCTATAAGATGTTACATGGCTTCTTGACGACCAGTCATTGAAACCTCTAAAAGTGAAAAGGATTTTAAGTTAACTCCTTGTTTTCCCCTTCTTTAGATTCTTAAAAATATTTACTAAACTCTCTCTCATTCCAGTTCATCTCATTATGATCTGCAGATACAGCGGTCACTTTATGAAGAACATGGGGCTAAGAACTGGGTGCCCGGTTACATTGATTTCATTATTTATTCTCAGTGAATTGGGCCACAGGGATTGTTAAACCTCTCATACCTTGGCTTCCAACAATCAGTTGTTTTGTTTCTCCTAATAACTCACTGATCATTTGCTCTGTATGGGGTGTGAGCAAAGTGAACATTTGTCTTCCAAACAGACAAAATCTACACTAAGATTTCTGGCATTAGATTCATTTTCCCTTCAGGAAACAAAAGTTTTTAGCCATCTTGAGTTTTTCCAAGATCTTTTAAGGTCATGAAGAGTGATATTTAAGCTAAGTTGGGAAGAGGCAGGAGGGGGATGGGGAGTGGAGATGAAGGTTGTTGAGAAGAGTTGACGGAACTTAATTTAGCCATGTAGTTTAAATGGACAAAAAGAGTCCTGGATTCCTGGATGGCAAAAATGGAATCCATTTCTCCAGGGACCCAAGGAATAACAGATGCAAAGACAGGATAAATTTAATTGCAGCAGAGGGGGAGATGCTTCTAGATTGTCCATAAAGAAATAGGCTTTTCGGTACTTCCTAGTCAAATGGCTTTAATTGTGCTGTCATAAAGTTAATGGCATCTGTTGAAGACATCACTATAAAATTTGCAACCTTAAGGTAATTGAAAAACGTCCGTCGAGACGTACCCAGTCCAGAGTCCTCAAGATAACACTACACTTACCCTCTTTCGTGGGGGAGTCTGTTATTTTTGTGCACCAGGGGTAAATTGTTTACCACGAGGGACTGACTCGAATGTGTGATCTTGTGTTCCTCGTGCCTGACTACAGCTGTCACTTCCATCGTGACATCAGTAATGTGGGAGCTGGCTGGCCGTTAGGGATTAAACGTATCTTCCTAATCTGTTTTCCATGTTTCAGGAATGTACACGATTTCGGTTGGCCGCCTTTCCTCACCTCTTTATTTAAACCAGCTACGGTTCTCTCCGGGGCCTCAGATAATTCCGCCGAGCTAATTAAACATGCAGAGGGAAACCGGGTGGTCTGCAGTGTCCTGAGCTGCCCCCCACCAGCTGCCTGCCAAGCTCTCTCAATGATCAGCAGCAGGTTGCATGTTCTGATGGAGAAAGTAACGAGCCCCCTAGGAGCTGCGCTCCTTCCAGGCCTTCCAGTCGGCGGGCTGCACTCACCCGCCTCGCCCGCCTCAGCAGGATTCCAGGAAAACACCCTCTGCCAGCCTTTGTGTGCTGGTGGCTTTAAAGCCTGCCTGGCCACTCACAGTCCAGATGCCTAGAAGCAGGGGGACCGTTCAAGAAAAATATCTATGGGGGCTAATCCAGCTGGGCCCCTCGGGCCATCGATCTGGGTCATTTGAGAAACGGGTCCAAATTGCTGGGTTCCCAGTATTTTGTGACTAATACTGACACATTTCCGCCTTTAAAATACGTACTCTGGAATACAAGGATTTATTTTTGAGGGCCCAGACATGGACTCAGTTTTCGTGATATAAAAATGCTAAGCAGAAAGCGCCGCCGCCACCACCACCACCACCAGGTGGAGCATATACTTCCACATCTGTCCAGTTGTTGAAAGGGTTAACATCCAGAAGACTTAAGAAGCAGAACATTTGTATATACGATATTCTATAGGACTGAAATATTTAGGTTATTAATCTCTGGAAGACTGCTGCTTGGTGATAGATGGGTGTGCTTATTCATGTATCTTGCACACGCAACCCGTTGTGCTGGGACTCACACCCCTTCCCCTGCCCATTCCCCCCCACCACCCCTGCCCCTGCTCCCTGCAAAACTGAAACATTTTTAAAGAGATGGACATTGGATGAGGATGTACAGAAATGCATCACTAGCAAGGAGATGATTCTGGATGTGATAATGATATAAAAGCCAAATCATGTTATGATTCTTTTTTTCCCTTCTTTCTCTTTACAGGAAATAGCCCTCAAGATAGCCCAAGAAATTTCTCCCCCAGTGCCTCAGCCCATTTCTCATTTGCACGGAGGTAAGGACTTCCTGTGAATGGAATTAGTAGAATGTTACATAGAGAATCACATCTCCTGAGCCCCCTCTTCCTCATTTCCCGCCATTCCCCCACCTTCTGCTTGTGAGATCCTGCCCATCCTCAGAGATGACCTTCTCTGGGGCTCCCTGCCCAGAGATAGCTCTAGACCACCACACAACACCACTTTAACAGTTTGATAATGATTTCTCACTCGTGTTAAAGTTACGTGCACCTCTCTTGGGTCTTCCCTGGATGATGTGCTCCCAGTGAGGGTGAGAAATGACTGTTGACTTTTTTTTTTCATAGTGCGGTGCCTTATACACACTTGATATTCAATAGATTTTTACTGAACTCTCTGAGCTCACATTACAAGGACTTGACTCATCTCTGTGTTGTGATGCTACTGTTTTTGTTGTTTTTGAAAGACGTTGGTTGATTTTTTTTTTAACAGCCTTTCTTGGAATCACAGGGTATAAACTCTAAGATGCCTCTTTAATTGAGAGCATAACGCCACCAATTTAGGGACCACCTTGAGATAAAGCCATGCATGGACTAAATGATAATTTATGATTTCTCTTCATATCTTAGTTAGAATTTGGTACCAAGTGTCAAAGATACATGTATGTGTTCTGTCTGGGTCATTGAGCCGCAAAGACATCTTGTTGTTTGGAGGATCGTAGACCTGTGATGTAACATCACACCTTGTCAGTTCTGGATCTTCTTCAGTAACTTCCCCAAGTGAGAGAAGTTTACATAGCCATGTTTTCTGTGTTCCGTATTTGGGATCAGTCTACTTCACTTTGTTAGATTCCATCCGTCACCTTCCAAGGCTCTATCACCCTTCTCACACATATACCCTGGCCTCTCCTGCCCAGGAAAAACATATAGAAAACAAAATGCCCTTCCAGCCAGATCTCTGAATATTCAAGATAAATTCAGTTTTTGGCCTGTGTGTCCAGCATATTTGCTTATTTTCCTCAGAGACATAACTTGACGTGGATTAACATCACACTTAATAAAGACATGTGTAGTTAAAAAAAAAAAAGATTTGTTTTAACACATTTACCAGCCAGCAAAACCTACAGTGTCCCCAGTGCTATTGTCAGCATGCAATGCATTTACATTACAAAATCCAAAGAAAAGGACCTGTTGGCAGTATTTTCAGAACTCTCTATAATTAGAATTCCCTTGTAAATGTTACACATCCCCCTCCGTAAGGTAAGTGCCTATGTGTGAAAAGGTACCAGTCTTCCACCGTGGGCAGGACACCAGAGCAGTAAGACAGCCTCTCTAAGGAACTTGAAACCTCTACCCTGACTCTTGCCCCAGTTCCAACTTTTATTCTTTTAGCAACTTGTTCCAAGCACCATAAAGAAAATGTGAAAATTAACTGGTACCACAAAGCCTGTGTTTGCCCAGTTAATATTAATTCATGACAGTGCTACTCCTCTAAGTAGGAGGGAAAAAATCTTATAAAAACTGATAAACAAGAACCTACCATAGTCTTTAAAACACATCTCTTAAGAGAATGTGCTTAATTACTTTAAGTAATAAGAAAAATGCAAATCTCATTACAGTGTGCATTTGAACATGAGAGGAATCATAGTTTCTTAATCCTGCCAGATTTATAAAAATGAAGAGAATCTGATAATTAAGTGGGAGACTGGAGGATAGATGAATCTGGTTTCTCTGCTATTTAAAAAAATAAGCAACACCCAGGCATGTTAATTTTTGACAAATAAACCATAGACCATGACAGAAGATTATCACAGGAGACCTCTAGTTCATTTTGCATGAATTTCCAGATGGAACTCCCTCTACACTCTTCAAAAAATATTAATTTAGATAGGGACATGAGCAATCATCTTTTAAAACTTGTATTCAAGTAAACAGAACTCTGTCTTTGCTATAAAAACTCAAGTTGGTGTATTTTTATTTAACATCTGGTGTCTCTCTCTTCCACTTTGAAGTTGATTTTTATTCACCACTTGTGGGGTCCCCATTCCCTTCCATTCAGTATGTGTTTTCGAGCCTTTAAGAAGTGATACCATTTTGAGACTCTCACATTATTTTGTATATTTAGCCAATACAGAAGAGACTGCACTGTTTTTAAAATTATTCTTGAATGAAAGGATAAAGATCAGGCTTATTAATGTTTTTTCATTTTACTTAGACCATATGATAATACTCCCCCAGTAGACATCCCCTACAATTTTTTACTAAGATAAAAGGGATGAAAATGAGCATTGTAGCATAGTAAATTTTGTCAGGAGCAAGGAAACATATATTTACTTTACTAATAACTGTAATACTGATTTACAGTCCATCTAATTACAGAATTAACCTTTTTTTCCTTGGCCTTTCTGGGAAGTTGTTGGAGTTCACACATTACATACTGCTTTCACTTCCGTTTGAAATATAGAGCCCTGAATACACGCCATAGGTGTTGCCCAGTGGCCTCATTGTTCCTTACCAGGGTAAATCTCCGAATGTATTTCCACAAGCAAATTACTAGAACAGACTTGCCTGCTAAGTTCAGGTCACTAGACACTTGTTGAGTACTTGGCATAGTTCAGCAGGTTCCAGTATCAACCAGAATGTGAAATGTTCCCTCCAGGGGACTATCACAACTAAACAAGTAAATAAATCTGCTTCTTTATTACAGCTATAATAGGTTGGTTCGTATTGGAACTTTTCATTCTTTGTTGTGCACCGTGTTAATCGGTGTAAATTTTTGTGAATAGTGTTGAAATGTTTTTTTTTTTTTGCAAAACTTTTTGTATTCCATGTCCCATCAGATGTTTTTCTCTTCTTACCTTTTCACTTAGTTTAACACTAAGAGATTTCTACCCACCAAAAAAAAAAAAGAAAGAAAGAAAAGAAAAGAAAAAAGAAAGAAAAGAAAAAGAAAAAAATCACTCTTCAAAAAAGCCTTGTTGCTTTGGCTAGAATATAGTGTCTTCGATATAACATTTTATTGGTAGCTACCGCAAAGAGAAGACAACACAGTTGGCAGGATCCAAATTGCACTTGTGTGATAGCTTTCTTAAAAAAAAGGGCATGCTCTCTCTTAAGTACTGTGTATATATAGCATATATGATAACTTCTGATGTGCTGTCGCCATGGTAATGAAAATGCAATGGTCCTTTGTGCTCCATTTGAGTCAATAGACATGGAGAACTTGTGGAACTTTCTGAGACATAAATTATTTCTGGTCTATGACTGCACATTCTTGTTTAAACTTCTTCTAGTTGTATGTTTTCCAGAGTAGGCAAATGTAATTTATGTTTCAGAACTAGTAAGAACATGCCTTTTCTTGGAATTGTTCATTCATCTGAAATATATTCATTGATACCTGAGGGAAAGGAGAGTTAATGAATCACAAAACAAAATCACAATGGGGGAAATTGTGCCCGTGCTATTTCCAGAGACTAGTTTCTGATAATTGCTATTAAATGGACTGAATAATCCTTTTAAAAATTGTATCCTTTTTTTTTAACTTCAGAAAATTGGAAGTGTTTAAAATATAAAGTACAACATGAAGTTTTAAGTCTTCAATAACCTATTGAAATAAATATGACCAACTTGTGTCCATTTAATTGATATCTTCAGAAGCATGGTTTTACAAGTATTTTCTTCTTCAATCTTTAACATTTTTAGTTGTCTAAAAACATTTTTTAAGGACATATGACTTAATTGCTCCCATTCCTTGTATCTGTATATTTACAAACATTTTATTTTGCTTTTTTTTAAAAAAAAAAATACTTGATTCAATTGTACTCCAATCATGGTCACAGAAATGACAGGTAAATTTTACTAAAATTTTAACATTGTAGTATTTCTGTGATTTGTCCACTTGAATTTTTCCATTTTGTCTTTGTGGACCATTTGCATTTTTTGGAGGCAACATCCATGGTAGCCTGTGATTATATTTTCCCTTGACTGTAACTTAGTCTCAAGTATCAGTTGTTGTTGTTGTTGTTGTTTTTAAAATAAACATCTAATCGTGACATTTCTCAGATTGAAGTCTAGTGCTGTTGAATCCTCTGACTTCGACTTCCTGTGAATGTGTCTGTGGTAAATTTGGCCCCATCTTATTTCCCACCTGGTAAATTCATACAATCATACGTTACAAAAAGTCTACATACAATGCTCCATCTACAGAAGGCAGTGTGGGCCTTTATAATGTGATTCTCCTGTTTTTCTCTTGGCAAATGTGCATCCGTTTGTTTTCGCAGTGGTATATGATTTGGAAGTCACAGTCTTACTTAAAATAGAATAAATAATGACTCTGGGATGCCAGAGGTTTCAGAAAGTTGTTTTCTGGTGTTCCCTGGCAACAGTATTGTCTCTACTGCTTCATTAAATCATCTGAGATCCTTGTAAGCCTCTAATTCATAAACAGAATCCCCTCCCGGAGGCTCTCCTTTGACCATTTGGAGAGACAACCACTTTCTTCAAGGACTCCTGATAGTTTGGCCTCTTTGACTGAGGTACACAGTTGTACTCTTTGCATTAGCTTCTGCCCCTAGTGGAGAATGTTCATTCTGCCCCTGCTGTCATGGGCCAGAGCTGGGCTGCATCCTCACAACCTCTGCAAGGGGCTTTTGTTGCAACACTTGATGAAGCCAGGTCATGTAGGAAGATAGTAACTCTTCAGAGAGTCTGAATATAAGGTCAGTCACTTTTTTGGCGTGAAAGGTTTTTTTTGCTTCTTGAGGCTTAAACCAGTCCTGAGCCCCCTCAATCCCTTCCCTGGGATGTGATGAGTAGGACCGTTCCCTTGAAAATAAGTAGAGTCCTTAGGGGGTAATCCAAGTCCCCATAGGGGTTTGTACCTTGCTGGATTTCAGGCTTTTCCAAAGACCCATGGCCTCTGTTACCAGCTTCCAGATATGAGTATTTTTCCTCCTCCCTTTCTGTTTTTATTCATTTGAATCTGCTGAGTGTGACCATTGTAATTATCCCTGGTATTCATTTTGTCAAAGTGCGTTAGTGAGAGATCAATAGTATAGATCAACCCATTCACTTTCTACTTGTTTGGGTGTATTGATTCAGTTTAAATAAAAGTCAACCTGCTGTATAATGTTTGTTTACTCTGGCCTTTGCTGAGCATTCCCACATCTTCACTGACCGTATCTGTATCATTCGTTTGACTAAAAATACTCGGTTTCCCTGGGGTTCCCGTGTAACAGCACTGGCCAACGCTCATCTCCCCCTCTCCACAGGACTGATGGACGCCGCTGGTCCTTGGCTTCTCTCCCCTCCTCTGGCTATGGGACAAACACACCCAGCTCCACAGTCTCCGTAAGTGCCTAACTGTTGTCCTCTTGCTCACAACCACAGGTCTCTCTCGCACAGGAGGTGTTGGCTCTGGGTGTCTCTTGGTAGGACAGAGGAGGTCACTTCTGCACGTCTGCCGCTCTGAACAGGTGACCCATCACGTGAGGAGCTGACAAAGGGAAAAAGGACATACTCTTTTGGCTGCAGGCTTTTAAACTATGGTGCATAAATTGAGTTAAGTCCCAGGATCACAAGTTTGGAGGAGATTGGGAGCTTTCGTTTTAATGCCATTTGGTGTAGTTGGGGTGGGGGTGGGGGGAATGCAATCTGGTTTTATTGCTTTGGTTCCACACCAGTGATATCAGTACTGAAAACACCATTAAACTTTGATGGCCTATGTCTTTTCTTTTTTCCTTGCGTGGCTTACATGCAGGGTTTTTTTGTTTGTTTTTGTTGTTTTGTTTCTTTGTTTTTCTCCTTCGAAGAAAAAAAAAATGGCAAGCCTTAAATTTGTACCTTCTAGGTAAGAAATTTTTTGAAGGAGAGATTAAAAGAATTTAGTAGTAAGTTAAGACAAAGAGACAAGATGAAACCATGAAAATAGAATAGAAAAAAAAGGTTGCTCTTGCCCCAAACCATAACATTTCAACAAGAGCCCTAGCAATTAATGGAAACGATTCAGTAAGTTAGATAGATGCTTTCTCAGTTTAAATTAGTGGTATTGTGGGATATCTGTCTCTGCAGAGCTTCAGAAGCTGGTGGTCATTAAGAAAGACCAGGCATGTTGTAGGTGTTCAATACATACCTAATGAAATGGTCCGAATGCCCTTGAACAAGCCAGGAATGTGGACCTCATGATTTCAGATTTCTTTCTGGTACATTTCCATCTTCATTTTTGTCAAAATCTGTGTTTTATTGTATAAGGTTGTGCATCCATTGTTTTGTTGTGGTGTTGGTGCTGGTTTTTCACAGACCCCAGCCCCGTGCTAAGCATATAGATTCAGCCACTTAATAGTACTTGCATTGAAAAGACACAACAATTGAGGTGCTTGGGTGGCCCAGTAGGTTAAGCATGCAGCTCTTGATTTTGGCTCAGGTCACAATCTCAGGATCTCAGGATCATGGGATTGAGCCCTGGGTCAGGCTCCTCCCTCAGCAGGGAGTCTGCTAGAGATTTTCTCTTTCCCTGCCCGCTCACTCACTCACTCACTCTCTCTCAAATAAATTTTTTAAAAAAGAAAGGACACTGTATTTAAATTTATAAACTAACTGGCATCATTACTGCCTTATATTATGCGTTTCCAGGATCCCAGATCCAACACAATGTGAGTTTTCTGGAGCACCTTTAATATACTGCCTTATTAAAATGTGCTGGATTATTTTTACCATCTCCTTTGTATTTTATTGAGGAGAGGTCATTTATTTCCCTATCCTCTATTCCATTTTGTTGTGGTATGTGACTTTATTGTCCATTTTGATACTTTTGGTGAAGTGTCCTGACAGTCCTGAGTAGTTTCAGTGACACAGAAGCCTCCCATCAAGAGAGGATGCTTCAAACTCATGAATGGCTTCAGCAGATAAAACCATCACTAAATAACTGTGAAGTCACCCTGGGCTCCTGTGTCCAGAACCATCACTGGTCACTGGTTGATTTTAGCTCTCTTGAAAACGTGGATAACTCCAGTGTGAAAATCAATGCTAAAACTGACCAAAAAGAAAAACAAGGGTACTTTCTGAAATTTAAGAATTCTTCAGATTTTCACTCCACTAAGTGAGTCCCTGATCTCTGCTAAAAACCCTTACCTCATATTTCTCTATTGTCCAATATCATCATCCTTTGTGGACCCCATTTGGTACCTTCTGAGTCCCTGGGGCCATTTCACTGGCCGACAGTATTCCCCAGTGCCATAAACCCATCCTTTGTCACTTAGATTGGTATCCACCCTCTGCCCATTTGTACCTCGCTTGTTCCAGCTGAGATGAGAGAGACTCTCTCCCCCAAGGAGCTCCTTGCCTCCTCGCTTACTCAGTAGTGTTAAGGTCATAACACTCACTAACCCTGGCGTTGTGCATTTTGCTATATTCCCCATCAGTAAACCCGAGGCACTTTACTTAAGGAGTTGAGTTCTGTGGCTACATATCATGGTATAATCACAAAATTTTCCTCTCAAGAGTCAATACTTGCTAACATTTTGTTACATTTGCTACCTACTGTTTTTAAAATAAATCGTTATTTTGTTTAATAAATATTAAGGACACAAGTAAAGCCCTTCCCACCCAGGCCCTTTCTGGTCCTTCCCTCCATAGAGGGAACCAACCCTTCTGAGGTGGGCTTGGTGTCATTTCTATGCAAGTACAGGTCCTTGATTCTCTACGTGAAACTCTAGAGCCCAGTGGGTTTGGGAAACAATTTTCATATTTTAGGAAGGTAACACAATCCCTGTACAGGACACAACAGCCCAGCAGCAACTGGGCTAACAATCAAACATATTAATATTTCTTCAGCAGTCTGAATCAACATTCACACTAAGTGGATTGAATACATATTTTAAAGAGCTTTCCATCAGCTCAGTTGATGCTGTGCCACCAAAAGGGATTACTGTAAACTTATGAATAAACTTCTGGGTGTTACGGTTTTGAAGTCTTGGATGTAGAACCGTAGACGTTGAGTTTCCTCTGAGACCTATGTACAGATTCTTAATTCTGTTTTTTTATGTGCTAATTTCTTTATCTTCCCTTTTATCACTACTGCTTCTCTCCTGCTTGCAGTTATTTTATTATTCTTTTCCTGATTGCTTGAGTTGACTTAGTTTGTGTTTTGTTTTCTTTCCATAGTGAAAAGTATTTAAGACCGTGCCTGTACCTTCTGAATAGAGATTTGGTTTATCTCATAAGTCTTTCTAGTAGCGTTCTCATTTTTATGGCTTATAAAACAATCTCATTACATTATAAAAATTCCTCTTTGTATCAGTATGTACTTATAAAGTGTTTTATAATTTCAAGGTATGAGGGTAAGTTTAAGCTTTAGTCATTAATTTCTACTGTTACTACATTGTGATGCTTCAGTGTTTATGAAGTGTATTGTGAACCTAATGACAGCTTTAAAAAAAAAGACTGCTAAAACTGAGATTTCAGATGAATGTTACACTTACAAAGATACGTATTCTAATCACGCTTCTATTGCTCAAAAATTTCTCAATCTCCTTTGTTAGAATTTCTTATAGAATTTACCTCTCAGTAAAAACAAAAAGGCTCTTTATATTACATTTCTCATTAAAAACAGTGTTATTTAGCTATTCATCTTTACTACATTACCTTGCATTAAGTATCAAGTTCAGTTTTCAAAAAACAAATCTATATGCAAGGTATTAAAAAACTGACCACCACTGAAGCTGCTTTTAAAAAAAAAAAAATGTCCTAGCCGAAGGAAAAAAGGAAAAAAAAATGCAATTTTTAAAACAATGACATTAGTGAGAAAAGGATCCTCATCTCTTGCCCTTTTTACCCAAGGCCTATATCAAGGCTCAAAAGACAGCAGGCTTTGTAAAGGAAGATTTCATTACCTTATTTATGATCACACATCATAAAATTCATTTTATGTTACTCACCTGAAAGTCACAGTGTTTCATGGTGAGCAGTGTTCAAGCAAGGGTACCATCCGCAGTTGAGAACTAATCTATCGCTTCATGCACTCAGATTCTCCAGGTGTTAACTTTTCTCTTTGCTTCGGCTATGAATGTGTCTTGCCCATTTTCAGAGCCTGGGTTTTCTACAAGACAGGAAAGTATGTTTTGGGAAATGGTCTTATAGACAAAGGAGATGAAATATGGAGGGCATTTTGACCTCGCAGAGAAAGCAGAAAGGATATCTGTATTTTAAACATTGATGATTGTAATTATAACCTGAAAAGGCAACACTATAAAATGGTGCTGTCCTCCAGGTTCACTGTTTTAATTGCTAATTCACTTGAAGTCTTTCATTTGAAGGTGGTCCCCTAACCTCACTGTGGTTTGTTGTAGTCCTCCTCTTCCTCCCAGGAGAAGCTGCATCAGTTACCGTACCAACCAACACCAGATGAATTGCACTTCCTCTCGAAACATTTTTGTACTACCGAAAGCATCGCCACGGAAAACAGATGCAGGAATACGCCCATGCGCCCCCGTTCCCGGAGTCTGAGGTATGTGGACCTGATTGAAAAATGTGACTTCATTGGATTATCTGTTTTTAACCATTTCAAGGGAAGCCTCTTGGTCCTCTAATTCGTCTGTGTGTAAATTGATTTGTGATCGACCCCCAGATATAGTGTGATTTTTTTTTCCCATCTCTACATGCTATTATTAATTACCACTGGAAGGCATCTGACTGTTTTCCTTTTAATTTCTCTCAGTTTGTTAATTGAGGTAGTAGCAGTAATCACAATGGACTAAAGGGACCTCCTGTGAAACCTTCTTGCCATTGGAAATTGCAAGACCGACCATTTGTGGTGTGGGAGTGCTTCATGTTCCTATGTGAAGAGGGGTAAAGCTTGGCTGAGAAGGAAGGACAGCAAAAATAAAAGGATTTTCATTCAGATTCCACTTTATAAAAGTTTACCCCTATTTTTCATTCTTTCTTCCCAATCATGAGTTTTACTTTTTCCAAGATTATGAGTAGATTGTTAGGGGTTTATGTCCCTTGAATTTAGACATTGAGTAGGGCCAGATATAGATGGATGGATGGATGGATGGATGGATGGATAGATAGATAGATTAGATAATAGATTGATTTAGGGGTTTATGTCCCTTGAATTTAGACATTGAATAGGGCCAGATATATACATACATACAGGTAGATCAATCGATTGGTCGATCAGTCTTACGTTTTTTGTTTTTTTGGGATGTAGACTCTAAAACAGAGATTTGTTCAGGATGTTTATTAGGGAGTGCTCGGGATTTATACCTAAGGAAGGCAAGCCAGCCAACTTGGGCAGAGAGAACTACAGCTGCCACACAGCCAACACCATCAGGAGCTCTAGGGATGGCAGGGTGCATCAGAGTTGTCCCTCTGTGCCAGTTGGCCCTTACTTTTTCTCCGTACCTCCGTCACTGAGTGTGGTACCCTGGGGAGGAGGTGGCTTAGGTGAGGTGACTGCTGCTGAGGCCATCTCTGAAGGGACTAAGGGCTGATGGCTTCTGCTGTTCCAGCAGCGGCGGGTAGCTGGTCCTTCCCTGTGGGATGATCAAGGCAGTCCGTCTCCAGTGTGGAATCTTGATGTTGCAGAATTGGTGAACTTTCCTGTTTAAGATTTCGTTATAAAATTATTTGGTCAGGTGTTCAGTTGAATATCAAGGTTTACTGAGGAAGGTTTTCCCCTGTATCTTTTTTTTTTTTTTAAGTAAACTCTCCATCCAATGTGGGGCTCACTCACGAACCCAAGACCAAGGGTCGTGCATGTTCTACTGACTGAGCCAGCCAGAGGCCCTGTCCCCTTTGTACCTTTTTTTTTAGTATCATAAATGAGTAATAAATGTAGCCATATTGAATGATTTGGGAATGGGTTATTGTGTTGAGTTAGTGAATAAAAGGTCAGTTTTATGGATTCACTTAGAGGTGGTGTATTTTACCATGTGGGTGCCCATTTTATGGTTTTATGAAAGGACTTCCTGGGATATCCGGCACAGTCTCTCTTCTCCCAGGAATGTAAACACGCTGAAGTTGTACAACTGTGTACCACTAGAAGAAATAAGAACTACTATTTTGAAATAAAGAAAAGTGCACCACACTTATGTGCCTTTGTTGCATATTGTACATAATGCTTACCTCAGCATCCCAAATACATATTTGCTAGGCTAGAAAATGGATTTCAGTGGCGACACCTGTGCCGTGGAAGACTCTCAGACCTCTCCCGTGGCACGTGGCCGAGCACAGGTGTATGATAGAGCCGTGAAATTACACCGCTCACTGTGTCCTAGATGTTGCCGTTTGCAACCATCCTGTTTTGTTTTATATTGCAATTCATTAATTGGTTTCCAGAACTACAGAAATGCATTCTACATACAGAGCATTAATCTCAATCGGAGAACGTTTCTGAACTAGTTTTATATTGTCGCGATCATTACTTTGTGGCATTCCATTTCTTGAGCTTCCCTTTTGAGTCCTATTCAGGGTGTCACTGCTTATGGGCATTTATGTGTGTACTAATGACTGATTTTGTAGTTTATTACCTAATATACTTTTCTTATGAAGGTCATATAGTACTTTTGATCCTGCCAATTGTTGATAAATAAAAAGCTTATATTCATTTCATGCTGAGGCAAGTGTAAAAGGGTAATTTGCTTTGCTTGCAGCCCTGGACGTTCTCCTGCATGCTGTGACCATGAAATAATTATGATGAACCATGTCTACAAAGAAAGGTTCCCCAAGGTAATGAATTGAATTGAAGATGCCGAGCATCCAAACGAACAGACACCGTGGGTGTCGCATCTCTAAGGTGGTTTTGTTATGGGAAGTAATGGTCCAATCCAGTAGTAATGAGTTAGACTTGTGTAAAACAGCACTATAGCTTCTAACAAAGGTGAAAATCACTAAATATCTTTTTGAAACGACTGAGGACTTGCCACACTCTTCCGTGTGCTAGACTGCCACTAAGGTGAATCCTGCTGGTTGCCCTACCCACCGGGCAGGCCTGATGAGGTGCCCCAGGGAGCACGAGCCTCTACACCCTCTCACCCCTCTGCCCGTAGTCTGGGCCTGCTGCTGTGGCATCAAGCAGCCATTGTTTTTCTTCCTTAGAAGCCTGCAGAGTGCTATGTGATGAAAGTCTTTATTTAAAAAAAAAAAAAATAGGCAAAGAAAACCTCATTTTTTCTTTTCTGTGACTTTCTATCACTTCAACAACTATATGTCTAAAAAATATTCATTTAGAAGGGAAAGGAAAATTGCAGTGTTCCCCACGAGACTGGCAAAGGGAATTCAAGTTGAACCAGAGAGGATTTGCTGAAGAGCCGTTGCCAGGTGCCCTGGCTACACAGACCTGCTTTGACACTACCCGTCATCTGGTTCCCACGGCCTTTCCCCTCCACGTTCCTACACATTCAAGAGGAGATAACCTTTCCATCGTGTTCTTGTTCCTCCCCTACTACTTGTGTAGCCCAAGGCAAGGAAACGAAGGGCAAAAAAAATCTCTGGTTTCATAAATCACAAGTAGAGTACTTATTATTTGTAATGAACCTGACATTGATGTCCTTAATTAAAACTGTCTTAGCTATTAATTACATGTCCCTTGTTCACCAGGGAAATAGGTCCTGACTCTACGCAGTTCATGCTAGTTGGGATTTTAGAGAGAGGAGGAACGGGAGGCAGAGGGAACCCCCTCCCCACCACTGCACAGATAATTAATATAAGCAGGGGAGATACTGATTAGGCAGGAGAGCCTCACAGAGAATAAAATCAAAGTTGGAAAGGGAATTTTTGATACATGTTACCAAGGGAATTTCCTTGGCCTTTTGCTCATGATAGAGCTTTCTGAGAGTAGGATAAGGATGTTCCTGGTACATGAAAACAACTTTTGGCCCGCCCTGTGGGATTCTAGCAATGGTCCTGAGTTTTGAATAGGTAAGAATGTAACTTGATATTTTTGAGCATCCATCGGGAAAAAGAGCTCAAGATCTAAAATGAAAGCATAACAATGAACGGTTATTCTTTGGCTTATTTGAAGAAGCTTACATGGACCATTTTATATTTGATAGGATAGGAAAAAATAATAATAATCACCCTAAGATAGTCAGTTTCCCTTGCATCCTTCAAATCTTCCATGTGATAAGGCTGCTGTTGCTGCTTTTAAAAAAGAGAGACTTTAAACGTGTGCCGGATGTTGCATGCACCTGCCGAATCACTGAGTTCTGCCTCCAAAACTAACAATACAGTATATGTTAACTAAACTGAATTTAAATTAAAAATTCTTTTAAAAAATAGACTTTTTTTAGAGAGGTTCTAGGTTCACAGCAAATTGAACTGAAAGTACTGATGATTCTCATATACCGCCCCCACCATGCCCCCCTCAACCCACTCCCTGCATCCTGACACGCGCGCCCATGTACCCTCCTCCCACGAACATCCCCCACCAGAGTGGTTCATTTGTTAACAATCAATGACACAATCGCCCAAAGTCCATAGTTAACCTTAAGGTTCACTGTTCGTGGTGTATATTCTTTGGGTTTTGACAAATACGTAATGACAGGATGTATACACCATTAGTTTCTAGAATTCTATTTCATGATTTGTGGAGATCTCTGCAAATGCTAGGTAAATGTGATGATTGTGCACGTGTGTCTTTTGTCGTATTTCATCTGTGTGTTCCTGTCTTTTCTAATTAGGCTACGGCTCAGATGGAAGAGCGTCTGAAGGAAATTATCACCAGCTACTCCCCTGACCACGTTCTTCCTCTAGCAGATGGAGTGCTTAGTTTCACTCACCATCAGATTATTGAACTGGCTCGAGATTGTTTGGATAAATCCCACCAGGGTCTCATCACCTCACGATACTTCCTTGAATTACAGCACAAATTAGATAAATTGCTACAAGAGGTATGAACCAGACACCATATATGGTTTTCTGAGTTGTTTTTGCTTTCCCCCTGAAAAAAGAAATATTTCGTGAGTGCATTTGCTCCCGCGTTTTAACCATGAGGGTAGAGTTCATATTCCAGGGAAGCAAAGAAGAAGAAAAAAACCTGATTGCTACTTGCTATAAATTGATTCCTGTCATCATTTATAGTAATAGAAAGTTAATGTAATAACCTTTACAGGAACCTCAGGACCCAACAATCTATGGCTCTGGGATAAGTGGATTGTGAAGGATTTTGAGGCAGCGATTTTCCCTCTACCCCCAACCAGAAAGTTATAAAGTGCCTGAGTGTGTGTGTGTTATTTGATGATGCTATCTGGTTCTAATATCTGGAAAAGCTAAATGGAAAATGGTTGGCTTCTTCCAGGCCGTGTGTCCTATTAATTAACCTAAGCATGGTATTGGGTAGTAAATGGGAACTTATATTTTCATTAGTGTCAGTTCCTCTTCTAACAAAATATCCAATTTCCAAAAGACAGATAAACACAGGACCTGCCTGAGCCTAGCACTTGAATGTGTAGCTCCTGATAACACCCGGGACAGGAAGGGACGTGTAGGGCGGGTGCAATTAGTGCATATGTTGCACTTACGACTGAAATTGGTCAGCCACAGCTTACAAGGGAAACCTTATTTAGCCCATATATTTGGATATATATATATATATATACACACACACACATATATAGTGTTTTTCTCCCTCTTAGGGCACAAGTTACGCCCACGTCAGCATACTTGTAGGTGGTTTTCCCTAAGCATGAATATGTACATAATTGCGTGGAACTGAAGCAAAATGTTAGCATCCTGGTTTTCCGGAAATCCATCTGTCTTTGCCCCTACTGAATTTAGTTCTGACCAGGAGCCACTATTTTTCTTTTCTTTCCCATCCACACATCCCAACAGAGTTTCCTATCCTCTGTTTCCATTACTCCTATTTCAACCTTCTGTAGTCCATCAGGCGGTGTTTCTCACCCTGTGCTTTAGGGGTGATTTTCTTGATTTTGATTTTTTGTTGTTCATTTCCAATTCATCTTGCACCAAGTCTCCTGTCAGTTAAAATGAAAATAAATCTATGGGAAAATGAGCGTGCATTTAGGTGTATAAGAAATGTAAAAATGGGAGAGTCGACACTTGCTCTCAGTAATGGTCCTTACCTCGTCGCAGACTGCTGACAGCCGAGGGACTGGCACCAGCAGAGGGTACAGGGGCTGGGTGGGCAGGGACCTCTGTCTGTCGTATTCATCCAGGATAGTGCCCACCCTGCAGAAGAACTTCTGTGGAAGGACTGGCTTCCGCCCTCCTGTCACTAAACTCACTGAAGTCCTCTGTCCTCCTCACTGTCATACCCGCTGGACATCTAACCAGAGCAGGCCTGTTTTACTGGAATATTATCAAACTTAGCAACACTCAAAACCTCAGGTGCTGTCTTATTAACCTCCCTCCTTTGAAGACTTTCTTATTCTTAGTCCCTCTGTTTCTTCTCTGCTTCTTCTTAACTCGTATTTTCTGAAAGTTAGTTTTTCCTGTGACCGGATCTGCGGCCCACCTTTGCCCCCTCCTGTGACCTCGTTGGCTCTCTCAGAGGCCTTTGAGCTCTCACGGCTCCAGTTCTGTATCTCAGACCAGCAGCTGTCCCTAAGATTTCAGATTCACGTGTCTGCCTGACTACTGAGTAGCCTTCTACGAGGCAGTAATCCTAACCCTCAAATTCTTGCTTCTCTGCATTTGTAAGAACATCTAACAGTCTTTGGTGGTGCCATTCTGCCTACAAGGAAAGACCCTGACATGGCCCGTTGAGCGCAAGGCATCGTAATGATCTGTTTTGGGGCTTCGCTTCAACATCGTGCGAGGGCTCTGGGAAGGGATAGGGATCGTATCCACATCACCTTGAACTCTCTTGTACCTGGCGCCGTGGCTAGTCTTTGCTTCCTCGGTAACTGTGGAAGGAAGGGAGAAAGAAGATACGTAGGTTTGTATGCCCACATATTTGATTTACCATCAAATAATGCACTTCTGTTCATCTTAATCAAATTAGCTCTTGAAAAACGCTAGGAACACTGTGTATATTACTTGCTATGAGAATGTCTTGAAAATATTTGTTAAATGGTGCGTTTTTAAAAAAATATTTTATTTGAGAGAGAGAAAGCACAAACAGGGAGTGGGGAGGGGCAGAGAGAGAAGCAGCCTCCTGACTGAGCAGGGAGCCTGACCTGGGGCTCGATCCCAGAGCCCTGGGATCATGGCCTGAGCCAAAGGCAGATGCTTCACATTGAACCATCCAGGCCCCAAATGGTGCATTTTTAAACAGAAGAAGCAGGTAAGAGAGCAACTCTGTAGTCAGCCTCTGCAAGATCCTCCTTCTCTAAGTCCACAGTTCTGTCCCAGGGTATTATCACAATTACTAGTTTAGTCCTGTGTTTTTAATTCCTTCAGAAGCTTTCTCTGAAAAGGATGGAATCAATATCCAAGTCTATTCATGTTGAAATCCCCCCAGCCACCCACCGTGGGGCACCTGAATGGAGCCTGCTTAAGATTCTCCCTCCCTTTCCCCGCCCCTCGTGTGCTTGCTCACGCGCTCTCTCTCTCTCTCTCTCTCTCTCTCTCTCTCTCTCTCTCTCTCTCTCACACACACACACACACACACACACACACAAACCTTAAATAATAAATTGTTGGTTTATAGGAAAATGCATCTTTGGGGCAGAGAAGCATGTATACTTGTGGTATGAAAAGCCTTGTTGGTATGAATAAGAATGTTTTCTTGTTCATCTGCACAGATAAACATTTTCTTTCATCCTTTTGTGAAAATTAAAACTATCTTTAGAATCACATTGACAGCGTCCTTCCAGACTTTGGAGCTAAACAGCCCCAGGGGAACTTATGCCTTTTCGAAGGAGCCCTTATTATGGGAATTGGCTTTGCCTTCCCCAGGAAGCAATGGTTGTCACTTCCAGCTGTGACATTGTGTGCCCCCCCCCCCCCCGCCCCATCTCCTGGCCATTTTCCCTGTTGTCAGTTTTTCGTGGACCCAAACAGGGTCCCCCTGTGACTTCGAGCAGCAGCTTGATTTAACTGATACCTTTTTAAAGTCCTGAGGTCCAGGTCAATTCCAGATGAATGCTTTTATGCCTCCATGTGTTATCTCACTTAGGTGTGTTTGCCAAAGAAAGTCATATACATAGGAAACTATAACCTGCTCAAATATGGGCCCTAGTATTTTTTTACAGCAGCCAGCACTTAAAATACAAACACAGGGTATCCATTAGTGTTGGCGCTTGCTGTTGGCAGCCTGGAAACTCTCTCTCTTCTCATGCTAAGTGTGTGATTTTATTTGGTGTTGCCTTAACAAAACTCCCTCCCCAGTAATGTTAGTAGATAAAATATTATTTGAGTTAACATTACCCATTGTATGTTTTGGCTTGAGTTACAGCTGATAATCCTTAGAAGCAAGAAGCAGGAATGAGCTGATTATTTTTACAGTTTTTAAAATGGAATTTGTACAATCTAACTCAGCTATTTGAAGATTTTTTTAAGATACAGAGTTCATGTTTCTCTTTGAAGAGAGCAGCAAAACATGTCCAGGCTTTTTAGATTTTCTTTATATTCCTGAATTCCAAAAGCAGTTAATTATTATGGTAAGAGGAAATTCTGTATGTAGCCCAAATTGTCCATCAAGAGGTTAGGTAGCTTTTTTGCTTCATCTTTAAGATTTTCTGTTTAGTTTTTATTAAGAATAAGCTATGGGGATCCCGGGTGGCTCAGCGGTTTAGCGCCTGCCTTTGGCCCAGGGCGCGATCCTGGAGTCCCAGGATCAAGTCCCACGTCGGGCTCCCGGCATGGAGCCTGCTTCTCCCTCTGCCTGTGTCTCTGCCCCCCTCTCTCTCTCTCTCTCTCTCTCTCTCTCTCTCATATAAATAAATAAATAAATCTTAAAAAAAAAAAGAATAAGCTATAAAGAAGGTATATAGCCGTACTTCTTGGCATTCATTAGCTCTTCCAAAGTCTCTCTTTGGCTCAAAACAAAAATTGGAAAGAAAACTTAAAGACAGTTTAAATATTGGGTATATCTCCTTATGTATGTTCTAACGTCCCAACTGGATTCCCAGGACCCATAGTTGTAGTTACAAGTTGGTTTTCTTGGAACACATTCTGTTCCACAATTCTTCACCAGTGGTCATTTTCCCGTGTTTTTTCTTTGAAACGTTGGCTCTTTTGCTTTTGCCTGTATATGTTCCTATACCTACATCTTGAAAAGTTGCCTTTGATTTGGTGGCTTAAAATCAGTAGACATGTTCTTACTAAGTTTCATGATTTTTCACAGATTTTGTCTGCCTCTTCTTTCCATCAGAGAACTGCTACTTAGAATAAAACACCTTCAAGAGTGATTTTAAATGTTTATTAGTATGTCTGTGAAATTCTATTCTATTGCACCAGCATCTTCTTGATAGATTTTCTTTAATCCTCAGAGGAAAGTAAATCATAACAATTTAAAAATTTACAACAGCCTTAAAGTGAGTGTGCTTAGAAGTTTATGTGTTTAGACTTTTACAACTTTGGTTTTATGTCTGCCTTGATAACAGATTTACGTCATTTCTTCAAGAAAATATCATTGAGAATGAAAATGACTCTTATTGTCAGGATATATTTTTTGGTGCTTGATTAGGCAACATCAAATATAAAACTTAAAAAGAAGGAAAGTCAGCTAAATTTTACTGAGTTAAGTGCCTCAGTATTATTCACTGTGTGAAATCAAATTTGTATGCACATGTCCAAGTATAAGCATTATCCACCCCCCCAGGATTTGAAATAAACCACACATGCTTCTTACATGGTATAAAATAATTTATAGACTAATAGGGGTGTACATGTAAAATCTATTTCCTAAAGGTGTTGATGAGCCAGGATAACAAAAGCAGCCATTCATTGTGTTAGCCATTTCATACTTTATTCTGCAACATCTGGCAAATCAAGGCTCCTTATCAGCCATCTACTCTGTTTGTACAATGTGCTTACTGAATAGAAGCTGTGAAACCTCTCCACCATTCGTGGTTCCCATTGAGAGTTTCAACATTTGATTTTAACACAGAATAAAGCAAAGTTTTACAATGGAAATTTAGCCAAGAGACCTGTTTTGTGGATAAATTTTAATGGTGTCCATTTGTGAAGAGATAATATCCACTTATCAATCTTTGAAAAGCATTTTCTCAATCGCTCAATTTTCAGGTATCTGCAATTATCTAATTAGCGTGCTTTGCTGATTTTCTCTTCCATTTAATAGAGCAACCCTGTCTCATCATTGCTTTTCATTGCTTTCTCATAGGCTCATGATCGTTCAGAGAGTGGAGAATTGGCATTTATTAAACAACTAGTTCGAAAGATCCTAATTGTTATTGCCCGCCCAGCTCGGTTATTGGAGTGCCTGGTAAGTTGCCCCTAGATGAGACTCCATTACTTATTGTTTTTTTTTTTAATTTTTATTTATTTATGATAGTCACAGAGAGAGGGAGAAAGGCAGAGACATGGGCAGAGGGAGAAGCAGGCTCCATGCACCGGGAGCCCGATGTGGGATTCGATCCCGGGTCTCCAGGATCGCGCCCTGGGCCAAAGGCAGGCGCCAATCCGCTGCGCCACCCAGGGATCCCCATTACTTATTGTTAACTGTGGGAAAGCAGTGACCATCAGAAACCTCCAGTTTCATTTGGCTTCAAAGACCAGAGTTAAATGGAAAGAGTCAATAGGAGTGACAATTTGTGAATGTTTATTGGCACAACCCCATGTGATTTTGTTTTCTGGTTTTAAGTAAAAATTCTAGGACTTGTACTGTATTAAGTGATAATCATATCACATCTGGTCAAACTGGAAAGATCATCATGAACTAATGGGCTGAACCTTATCTCAGGACAATTACTATGTGACAGCTCATTTACAGCACTTGCTGGGCCGCGCTTTTTTGGAGTTGGCAGGATGCAGAGAGAGGGAAGTCAGAGATAGGATTTATCATAACCCTCAGTCACTCGTATTTGTTTTTAAAAAGTGGCATGTCAGAAATAAATGCTCAGCAGCAACCCGATTGGGAGAGTGTACTAGGGTCCCATACAGACCAGTAGAAGTGAGACTTTCAGAGATTTCTTCATTTTGTCAATTATATTGCCCTTGGTCATTTCCTATTTTAAAATTTTTGTTTCACATAATTTTGGTTGAAATTTCAGCCCACCCTGTGAACACATATGAAGCTTTGAACATAAGAATAGTTTTAAAGGAGGGCACCTGGGTGGCTCAACTGTTGAGCCTGCCTTTGGCTCAGGGTGTGATCCTGGGTCCCATGATTGAGTCCCACCTTGGGATCCCTGCAAGAAGCCTGCTTCTCCCTCCGCCTGTGTCTCTGCCTCTCTTTCTGTGTGTGTCTCATGAATAAACAAAGTCTTTAAAAAAAGAATAGTTTTAAGGTAAGGGGCTTAACATAGCATCAACACTCACTTTTAAGTTCCACTAACCATTAAAGTATTTGAAACACTATGTGCAGCACAGGTTTTCAGAATTCCGCATTCACACATACACATATAGGGTGGTGTTGCTAGGGTTTCACCCTTATTTTGAGTAACATTCATGGCTTTTTATAATAATGAAATGTTCACAGCCCCGTAAATATATACTGATGCATAATGAGTCATGGAAGAGGGGAAATCTTGAGGAGACAGGGAGGGGTCTGGTGGAGTAGGTGTTTCCATCAGTGGCCACGACCCCTAGAACCACAGAATTAAAAGCACCATTTGGCATTGTCTCTAGAAGGATAAAGGGGAAAAAATACTCTGGATGCTTCTGGGAGAACCGTGTGACTGGCAGATGCAGACAAAAGGAAGTCTGATTTTTGTACTGCGCCTTCCATTGTACATTGTGAATTATGCACCACATGCTTGTACTTCCTGCATTTGTTTAATTTGGGGGAAAATACCATTCAGCAGATACACTAATAGAAGATCCTGCCTTAAAAGAGGAAATGAATTTTTTCAATAATCACTCCTCACCAGTAGAGAAAAAGTAAAAGTGTAGCCTCTCAAGGATAGAAACAAGTGAACTTAAATGTAGAATTGAAAATGTTGCTGCTTTCAACACTATTTAAAGCTCAGATACAACTGGAGCCTCAGAATTATAGGGGTGGTTTTCCAACCCGTGGTCTTACACCTTCTGTTTCAGACCTGCGCTCTGTGTCATTGTAGGTTTCTAGAAAGGGTGCTGAGCGGACGTTGGTTTTGGCTTTACTCCATTTGCAGCGAGCTTTTTTTTACATGACCTTTAGAAACCTTTGAGTAATTCTCAGGTGAAATGCCAATATTCTGAAGGTGTCTACCTGGGGAATTAATCAAAATGGGAAATATCCTGAGGGGGTAAAATCTAGGAAATATGACTTGAAAATAGCCACTGTGGTTTAAATATGTAAACATAATTGTTTGAAATAAATCCAAGGCATCCACCTACAGTGATAGAATCCCAAAGGTTTTTATTATGTCCTAGAAGTAACAGACAGACAGAGGGAGTAAAATACTTAGGCAAAATGTGCTACCAAATGTTAAAAATAGACATAGGTAATCAAAAGCATTAATTTCATAATTTTCTGTCTTAATCGTCACATTATATGAATATTAATTTTAGTGTGCACGGATAAAAACTGGTAATTTTGAAATTTAAAAAAAAATACTTTTGCATACCTTTGTCCTAATGGAGTTTCCTGAAAAATCTTTGAGAATATGTGTTCTAGCATTCCTCTTTTTGTGGCTGTTTACATGGAGAGAAACTGAATCTTCTGGATGAGATTTTGGATCTTAAGATTTTACTAAAAAGGCATAATTTAAATTTTAAATGTGTTCATTTCCAATAAGATGGCAATGGGAGATCTTCAAAGCTACAGTACCAGGAAGTTGAAAGTGGTCGCTCTAGGAGGTACCAAGGACCTACCTGTATTGCCTTAGAATAGGAAAGGCCTCAAATCCAAAGTAAGAATTACATACTTTGTAAAAGTCTCTTGCTTCCTTTCTGCACAAATAACCCACAACCATGTATATCCAGCAAATTTAATTGTAAGAGGAATTTGTGTAATAAAACCTCAGAGAATTTTGGCTCGAATAACTATCCATCTGTGTTTGTCTTCTGCTAGGAATTTGATCCTGAAGAATTTTACTACCTATTGGAAGCTGCAGAAGGCCATGCAAAAGAAGGACAGGGTATTAAATCTGACATTCCCAGGTATATCATCAGCCAGCTGGGGCTCAATAAAGATCCTTTGGAAGGTATGTACCTTGGCGGACTGACCTTCCACTTGCCTACGCACTGTGACTTCAGACAAGAACTTACTAGCAAGTCTTTACTTTTTCCACGTGACTTGGCTCTGTCTGTTGAAAAGTGCAAATTTGGGGGGGGGCAGTTGTGCTTCGAAGAAAAAAGCAATCCTCCCCTGTGGGGTTCACAACACGCTGAGTTGAGTCCAGAAGAGCAGGTGAATGTGGCCCATTTTGTGTTGTACCCAGAGTGTGGGGCGAGCCCTTGAGATCCCAGAGGCCCCAACAATGCCAGAGTCCTGAAAGGGTTTACATTCTAGCCTTCCCTGAGTGCTTTCTCTCTGGCGAAGCTCCATGGGGTTCGTTTCAAGTGTCCTTTTAATTTTGAAGTTGCTGCTAAAGAAATTAATTATAATTAATTTAAAAGTGACATTTCAAGTAATTGGGGAGTAATGCGTCTGATGATAGATTTAGATCAGATGCCGTGTTGTGAGGTATATTTTTGCATGTGACAACAAAATTATGAAGAGTGATAATGTACAGGAATGCCAGTGAGGGGAAAATGTTTTTTCAAACTTAGAGATCTCATGCTATTAAATCCACAGAAGACTAAGCACCTTGTTGGTGGTGGTTTTGTTTTTGTGTTTTAATCTAATATGGGTAAACTACTCCCCTGCCTCCCTACCCCTCTACCTTTTCCTGCTCATTATTGTTTGGATTGTCCTTTAAAACACTTTAAGTTACATACTGCCTGAAAAGAGTCAGAAACAATCAGAGACTCCTTCATTCAAAATCATCTTCCTGGTTCGTTAAATTGAATTTGCAAACAGCGTTTATCTTCGCTAAACTATTTCTAATGATGGTAACTGTTGGCACAGATATCTTCCCATCTAAAGCCAGGGAACCTGCTGCTCTCTGCCCTGCTCTCCTACTTCCCCCTGCTTTGTTTGCTCTTACGGCCATTCGGATCTTTGCTTCCAGGGAAATGGTGCATGCATTCCTGGGAGATAATGCCAGATAAATTTATACTGTCCTGAAAGCAATACCACAACAGACTCATCACTTATCAGAGACTGGTGGCTGCTTCTCTGAAAAGTTCCCTGGGGAGAGATTTTTCCCCATGGCTTTTAAATTACCATCTTTACCTTTTTGAATCATGAGTCTTCAGAAATGGTTTAAATCAATGAAATAAAAAGGGCAGATGTTTAATGGTATTTAGATGAGTTTTAAAAATCTCTTCAGGCATTACAAAACGATGCCTTAGCTTCCTGCTTCAAAAGCTGACTCCTGGTTCCATTCCATTACTACTCACTGCTTGCAAATAATATGTATTTCCCAGATAATAGTTATTTAGCAGAAATCCTATTTAAAACAGAACCATCTTTTAATTTGTTTTTTTATGAAAATAATTGGAGTGGGGAGGCTGTCAAAGTATATTAGAGTGACTGTTCACGCTGGTAGAGTTGAGGTGGTTTCAGCTCTTGTAGAGCGAGTGAGCTCTTCACAGTTTTCTGAACCCGGCGGTAAAGATCACTGTTGGCTGAACTTTGGTAGGTGAATCATCTGAGGCCTGTCTATGTACCTTTATAGGGGCTCTAAAAAAATCTTAATGGTGATCTTGGACAAGTTTTGAGTTTAGTAAAACAAACTTACCCCTGAGACTTGTGTTTTTAACTCTTGATACTTCATTTCCTTGATTCAGATCTGAGGGTGGTTTTTCATCTATTTGTCATCACGGAACATGCCTTTATTATAAACTCTCTGATCTACATTTGTTTCCCCCTTCTTGGCCACATCTACACTAACAGACCTGCAGCCTGACCTTTGAACGTTGGGGGTGAGGGTGTAGAGTGGAAATGCCCAGGTCTGCTCTTGGGCACCAGCCCTGCAGGCTATGACCTTGACCATGCAGGCTGACACTTGAGCCTCTTTGTGCTCAGTGTACTTTATATAAAACCAGGGAAATGGTACTTAACCATAGACAGTTGTTTTTAGGATTCTGTGAGTTCCTCTCTCTCCCCAAGATGCAGTAATGCTTAATAAATGTTAGCTGTTATTGCTGTTTTATTTGAACAATATTAAAGTTAGTCCTGTCCTTGAGAGTGCCGGCAACCAACTACGTTTTAGCTCACCTCCCAGTGCACCGACCTAAAGTGCTCATCATACAGGATGTTGACATCATTTGAATGACACCAAGAAAGCAGGTAGTTTGTACTAAGCTCATTTTTATTCTTGAATATCCCCTATTGGTAAAGTAGGAACGTTAGTGTCAGTCTTCAGTTATTTTAGATTCTGGCATTTGTTAGTTTTTACCTAAAGACAACACTCCAGTGTTGTTTTGTTTCATATCTTTTACATGTAATCTCTCCCAAAATGAATGATTATATTTATAAGAATGTGAATATGTAAAATGAAAGTCTAAGGACTACTTTTAGATGCATACAAAAATAGGTAACTAAAAACTATAATTTATGCGTTGTTATTATATATATAACTTAGTATACACATTCAGTTTTGAAAAAATCAGAAAATGCAAAGTACCTATGATCTTACCACTCAGAGATAACTACCTGTCAGAGCTTTAGAGAGAATTCTTTCATGTTCTTTTTTTTTAAATTAAGCATCTTTTTTTATGTGTAAAAATTAAAATGAACAATAAAATGAATTTGATTTCTTCATTTACTTTTGTAGACTCCAAGATTGATTCCATTGTGGATTGAGCAATTAAATGCCTTTTTCTTTTTTTATTTTGCTTTTGTCTCCTTTAACTAGACCACCAGGATAGTATTTAAGCTGATGTCAGGCATGTGGCATCCAGCCCAGGATTAATTACTCTACAGGATGTAACTAAAATCATAAATAACCATCAATATTCAGTGAACACTTAATTTTTATTAGTCAAATGCTAAGGGCTTTTACATGAATATCCTATATGATGCTTACAAGAAACTCTCAGAGATGAATACATTGTTCCTATCTTACAGAGGGAGAGCTTGGGGGTGAAAGGTCCCTAGTTAAGAGTCAATCGTGGTGGTATGCCAAGTCTTTGCACTGTCAAGTCCCTCTCAACAACCACTACTTCCTTTGTGACAAATTGCAAAATCTTCATATACTAGGCAGGGGATTTTGCTCAGTGGCTATGAAGGAACGGAAGGAGGAATGCTTAGCCGCCAAGTTGAGAATCATCTCTGAGCTGCAGTCAATGAATCTTTGATGCCTGCCAGAGCCTGAGAAGACTTGCCTCTCTTAAGAACTCACTCATAAGCACACTCATTGATACACACACCTCCCCACCCCCAACCCTAAGTGGTGGTGATTGCATTGGCCAATCAGTCCTCCTGTCTGAAGCAGAGGCTCTGCTCTCAAGTACCTGTGTCTAGTGTTCATGAGAAATGGGGTTTCAGGGAAAGGCATAGACTGAACCATTTCAAGAATGTCTATTGTTGGGTCTTGCCATTTTTTAAGATTTTCCCAAGGCAATGAGTATAGAGTAATTTTTTTTTAATAATGAAGTTACTTCTTGTCTACTTGAAATTGTCCTGTTTTTCTTAAACGTTGGTTGTGTTTCTTCATTTAGAAATGGCTCAGTTGGGAAACTATGATAGTGGGACAGCAGAAACACCAGAAACAGATGAATCCGTGAGTGTAAGTATCTTTCTTGATGAAATACAGTGTTGGTTTTTCTGTTTATCAGCATCTGGAGAGATTTAGTGTGTTAATTACTTTATTTCTTCCATAAACATGTATTGTGCTCCGATGTGCAAGGCAGTAAGCATACGGTTTTAGCCTCTCTTCTCAAAGAGAAAGAGATTGATAAAAAGAAATCATGCACAAAAAATAAAAACAATAAGCTTGAATAAGATCTATGAAGTAAAAGGGCCGTGTTACTAACACATAACAGAGAGTGACCTTAGCCTTGCTGCTAGTCCAGAAAGATCTCCTGAGGAAATGGCCTGGGAGTGGTGTGAGAAGTTACTAGGATGAGAAGGTGGCAGAGGGAACATTCCAGGCCCAGGGAATATTGTGGGCAAAGACTATGCCACAAGGGAGCAGAGTGCATGTGAGGGTAAGGGCAAGGAGACCATAGAGACTGGAGAGCCGGAGCAAAAACCAGACATAGAGGTCCTGATTGTTCATCTTTGTCAGATCTTTTCTTTCTAAGAATGGTGGGAAGCTGTTGAACTTGGAGGGAAATGTTTGTGTGTAGGGGTTAGAGACAGGTGGACAGGAGACCAACCCTGTCAGCATTACTGCTTAAAAACAAACTTAGGATGGCAGTAGAAAGCAGATGAGGTGAGAGGGGCAGGCAGGAGTGACCATGGGGAACCCATGCAGGAGGCTGTGCAAGTGGCACAGGTGAGGGTAATGGGGAATGCTGGTGCCATCGTCCCTAACTGTGAATACCGGAAAGGAAAGCAGGCTGGAGTGAGTTGGGGTGGTCAGGAAAGAGAAGTAGCTGGGTAGGCTGGGGGGCTGAGGACCCAGGCTCTAGAGTGAGACTGCCCTCATTCAAAAGCTGGCTGCATCTCTTGCTAGCTGTGGGAAATCACTCTGTGCCTCGGTTTCCTCCTCTGCAAAATTATATAAAAGATGGTAAAATATTAAATGAGATGATTTATGTAAAATGGTTAGATCAGCAACACTACTAAATGCTAAATAATGATAGCTGTTTTTTTATTCATTATTATTATAATTTCGAATGAGTTTAGACTGAAGTTTTTTGAAGATATTTGAGAAGAGCCATCACGCTAGCATCTGTGTACATGATGTACGATCTGCTGGCACTCAGAGGGTTTTCAGTGGCATTTTGAAGGACGTAGGAGTCATCCATGGGCATGAATGAGGTCACCTGGGTGGGCAAGAGTTAATGAGACAGGTAGGCCCTCAGTAGGATCTTTGCACCCAAAGCTGTGGGGACCTATCAGAGTGGATGACAGGAACCAGTGAGTGACCCCAGTCTTGAATTATGTTTTCTGTGATGGAGCATTAGCAGTGATGACTAGACGCAGGGCCTGTGGCCAGAGACCAAGGGGGAAATGGAGGAGAGAAAGAGTTGTTTGGTCCAGAGGCCAGGGTATTGGGTGAATTACCTGCTTGCACACTGAAGTCACGCAGGGTAGTGAGAGAACATGAGCAGAGAGGAACGTGGGCAGCTGGGCACCCAGGACTTCCAAAAATAAATGAGACAGCATGTCAGCGGTTGACAGCATCCAGTGAGGGAGTGTGTGTGACACACACGACGGACTCATGGGATTTCTTCCACAGTTATAGGAAGGGCTCTCTGGGTTCTGCAGGGGGGGAAAGAGGTTGTCAGTGCTCACCCTCTCAATGCTAAGATTCGCAGACTATGAGATTATTTCCCCCAAAAAAACCAAACAAACCCATTTTACTTATTATTGTCCTTTGAGCTCAACTTGTTAAAGAGCTATCTTTTTGAAAGTAGATATCTAAACCATGGTAAGATCAAAGTCAAGAGAGACACGCACTGTCTGTTTGGGTGCCCCTTGCCACAGACTACCTTTTCCAAACAAGAAGGGTGGCCACAGGGAGGACACAGACATTCTCTGGTCAGGGACAGAGAAGCTACGCCATCCGTCAGCCCATGTTGAGCCACGCAGCCCATTCTTTCTGTTTTGACTGACTGAAGCCAGAGTTAAGGTTTGACATTTTGGACTTCTATCTCAAAACCTGAAAGGGCTAGGATGAGGATAACCCGAGTAGTGTACAGAGGTAAATTAAATTGGAAATTTATTTTTGTTTTTTAAAGATTTTATTTATTTATTTGAGAGTGAGAGAGCACACGAGCACAGGGGAGGGGCAGAGGGAGAGGGAGAAGGCGAAGCAGGCTCCCCTCTGAGCAGGGAGCCCGATGCTGGGCTTGATCCCAGGACACTGGGATCATGACCTGAGCAGAAGGCAGATGCTTAACCGACCGAGCCACCCCAGCTCCCCAAAATTGGCAATTTTCAAAAGCCTTGTGCCTTCATCTCCCGGAAATGACTTAACTTAAATGGTCTCACTTAAACGAGACCGGGGCACTGGCAGGAGAGGCAGTCCATCCGCGCTGCTCTGCAAAATTGATCTTCAAAGCTGTGTGCCAGCGTCCTTTGGCTCCAGTACTGCACTTCCAACAGATTCGACAGCAGGGCAGAAAATGCAGATGTTGTTTGTGTTGCCATTAAAATCATTTTCTTGAGTTCTCAACTATTTTCTAACTTCCATATTTTGTTTCCAAGAGCTCTACTGCTTCCCTGAAACTTCAAAGGAAACCTCGGGAAAGTGATTTTGAAACTATTAAATTGATTAGCAATGGAGCCTATGGGTGAGTAATTCAAGAAAACTCTCTATTGTATTTTAACACACCTGAGTAATATATTCTGCACATTTATCTTAGGCCAAATAGATGTCATTAGAGACTTGAGGTTTCAGATCACTGCTCCTTCACTGGTGGGTATAATGTGTAGCCAAAATCGTTTTTCATTTAGATACTCCATCAAGAAAACATATCAAGTGACCTGGAGTTATTTTAGAGGTATGGGGAAGGAGACTTTACAAAGAAAAGGAAGATTTTTATCCATGCCTGTTTCTGCCTCCTTTATTGGGCCCTTGGGGATGCAGAGATCTCTGACTCTTGGGTGCATATACACACACACATATCTGGTTCTGTAAAATCTGTATCTCTGAAAAAAAAAATCTGTATCTCTGAACACATATAAACTCATATATAGCATTAATACTTAAGAATTAGCTAGAAAAAAAAAATTAGCCAGTACTTTCTGTCTGACAATCGTTCTTGCAAGAGAAGTACTTAAATTAGAAGACTGCTTGGAAACTTCACACAGTACGTTTCTTTCAATCTTTATATTGTACCAGGGTTTTATTGTTTGTTTGTTTTCAGTTGAAATCTGTGTTCTGATCTGGTCACGTTAGGGGTGCCCCTTTCTTCATTTTTAGAGACATGAGGTTTTCTTCTCATGGCTAGGAAGGGTCAGTGGTGACGAGGTCCTTCTGAGTTACTAAGAAACAGTTAGGAAGGGTAGTTAATATACATACTGTGTCCCAATCCATTTTAGACAGCCCAGGAGCTCTGGTTTAATTAAGTATTAATCTCACATCTATCTGTATATGGAGAGCAATAAACAATCCCATAGACGTTTATTGCCATTTATCACACGTATGAGCAGATGAGATAAGGCGATTTTTGTTATGCCACAAGGGATGTTTCTCCTTACGATTTTTTTTTACCTCTAATATTTTCCACACCATTAACTTAGTCAAGAACTTTAATATTTGTGAGTCCTTTCTGTGCTTCGCTGATTTATTTTCAGGATTATGTCAAATGGTGTATTTCTCGATGCAGCTTGTAAATGTTTTGTGATGTTTTATTGTTATAATATTTTGTTTTGTTCAAGGACTTCATGGAAACGTCTCCCCCCCCCCCAAATTGTTTAAGCATACGGTGGCTTGCGAGTTTCATTGATTACGTGGCATTAGTTCGTTTTCGAGATCATCTGAGGATTTCTTCCTTCGTCAGGGAAAAAACTGAACTTTGATTTAATGGGTCTCTGGGTTTGAGTGCTGATAGCTTTCATTGGCAGTGGAATTCTAGAATAAGATTTTCTGCGAAGCGCCGCTTTTATAAAATTTGGGCATGTATCTTAGCAGTATTTGGAGCTCTAATTGGTTGAGTAAACTCATTTGTAGTGCAATTAAACGACTGTCTAGTAGATGAGGTATATCACACTTCGGGGACTGGTTGCGAATATACAAGAAGTTAAACAAGCTGTGAATCAGTGAACACCCAGGATGCAGGCCAAGTCATTAATGGGCTGACGAGCTGCCTGCGGGGGCTCCTACCCATCAGCCAAAACTTCTTTCTCCCTTTTGCTCTTCTCAGATTTAATCTCTCATTACATTTCTGACAGATTTCCTCTTCATTTTAATTTTTAATTCGAGATTGGAGTGGAGCTGCCTGCCCAGCAGCCCCCCAGTCCCGACGCTGGCCGCGGCTTCAGCGGGGACTGAACACCAGGCTCTCCAGGCCGGTCCCTCCCCGGCCCCTGGGCCACGGAGCACGCGAGGAAGCCGCTGTGCCTGCCACACTGGTTCCCTCAGTCTCCTCCCCACTTAGGGGAGGGCAGACCCCATCCCAGCTAACTTAGCGCCCCCGGGGAAGGCCTTGCCTTTGCCGGCGCCTGCTGGATCCCACGGGCTGCTGCATCAGCCTGGACGTGGGAGGGGCCCACGGGTGGGGGCGGCAGGTGCCCGGCGAGCCACTCTCCTTGCTTCTCCAAGGATCCTCGGCGGCCTCAGAGCGTCCTCCCCTGGCCCCGCCCAGACTTGTAAATCACAGTGTTCAGGGTTTTCAGAGTGACTGAAATTGACTTAAATTTTTTAAAAAACTACATTTGAAAGGCGCACCGTTTCTGCCCCACTTGGCTTTAGTTTCCAGCTTGGCTGCACGCCCTTCTCCTTTACTCCCCGAAGGTGGCCCTGCACGTGGGCACCCATGCGTGCAGTTGATGCCCCCCCCCCCCCGCCCCCGTGGCCTTTCCTTGGACGTACGCATTCGCGTTCCCACCTGTAGACGAGCCCACGCGGACTCACCTGCTGGGCTTTCAGATTCGTGCAGAATCTATGTGCAGGAGACATTCACGCCCCCGGTAGGACAGGTTCCTTATGCTCTGGGTGCCATCAGCCTCCGATTCCCCTCCTCCCACCTTGTGCAGAAGGCGAAGTTAAAGCCTGACCCAGAGAGGGCAGGTGCCCCTTGCTGTGCATCACCAACCAGCCTTGGGCCTTCCTGTTTGACGGGCAGGTCAGCGTAGGGAGAGAGGCAGAAGCAGCTGTTTGAAAGAAAGCAGCCTCTGAGGCTGGAAAGCAGAGAAATGAGGGGCTGAGTCCCTCCAGCCCAGTTTTATAACCATGCACGGTGTGCAGCTGTGCTTAGCAGTGTTAGACTGCTGTCCGTCTGCTGGCTGGTGTTTGTCTCTGTTTCAACCTCCTTTTCCCTCTCTCTGCTGCCCTAAGTAGATTTGGAACATCAGCTTCCTGGCAAGGAGGAGACGTGTACGTGTGAGAGGATGATCACTGCTAAACAAGCAGATGTCAGCAGTAAGAATAATATTCCTAAAGCCGTAAAAAAAAAAAAATGTAAAAACAAGAACATAAAACCAACAGATAACTAGCTACGGCGGATTCTAATTAAGAAGTCTAGTTGACTTTTGCAACTTGATCAAGATATGCGTGTCCTGTGGCAGTGATGTCTCAAGCTACCTGTAGGATTAATTTCGGTTGGTTTAGGTAAATTTCCCTGGGGATCAACTGATGATTTTAAGCACAGCATAGCAAGGCGCAAAGCACAAAGTCAGATGAGATTTGACGAATGGCAAATCTGAGAGTAGAAAAGGGGAGTCCTTCGTTCGCACGGTGCCGCTGGGAAACCTGGTCTGGATGCTGGTCAAATTGGGCCTGCTGAGTGGTTGCTTCTCTAAGAAACACTGATAGTTGATTGAAAATCCAAACGCTGAGAGTTGATTAACAGTCTACAAAGTGAAGCTCCTGGTATCAGGTCTGAGGATGCTCAGCGTGACAGTGACTCAGTGGGAGATACTCAAAGAAGACATAGAGCGTAAGCTGTATCCCACTTGATTCTTTATAATAGGCGGGGGCTTGCAGAAAGGTACTGTTTTTTTTTTTTCAACATTTCAGATTCTGAATTTCACTTTAGAAGGTAAATTCCTGTGTCACAAACTCTTCTTCATACCAGTATTTGTTCACCAGTGTTTATCTTCTGTTTCTGAGGAAGCCAGGTTATTTTCTTTGGTTCCTTTGTGTCTATCTGCCTTCCAACAGCTGATTAAGAGAAGCTCAAGGTTTTTTGGGGGGGATCTTGATTTTATCCAATCAGTATTTGGAAAAAGAAAAATACTGTAAAAGCCTTTCATCTGACCCAGAAAGAAAGGGGTAGCTGGTTGGTTAGTTAAGAAGTTGATCAGAGTCAGAAATCATTAAAAAAAAAAAAATGCATCCTTAAACATACTTTTAAATTCAGATGCATACTGAATTTAATCTAACTATCTCAGTTTAAATATCTATGAATTGGGCAGCCCTGGTAGTTCAAGAGGTTAGTGCCGCCTTCAGCCCAGGGTGTGATCCTGGAGACCTGGGATCGAGTCCCACGTCAGGCTCCCTGCATGGAGCCTGCTTCTCCCTCTGCCTGTGTCTCTGCTTTTCTCTCTCTCTCTCTCTCTCTCTGTCTTTCATGAATAAATAAATAAAATCTTTAAAAATAAATAAATAAATATCTATGAATTTAGGGGCGCCTGGGTGGCTCAGTCAGTTAAGCATCTGACTCTTGATTATGGTTCAGGTCACAAGCTCATGGGTCGTGAGATCCAACTGCACATTGGGCTTTGTGCTGGGTGTGTTGGCTGCTTGGGATATTCTCTCTCTCTCTCTCTCTCTCTCTCTCTCTCTCTCTCCCTCCCTCCCTCCCTCCCTCCCTCCCTCCCTCCCTCCTTCCACCCCTGACCCCACACTGCCCCTTGCAAACCTCCCCCTTAAAGAAATAAATATATAAATTTATATAATATATTTATATTAAGAATATTAAATATATATAAGGTTACTAGTATTCTTATGTAAGGCCTTTCTAAGACAGCCTATATAAACCATACTTCTAATACATCGATTTTATTTACTACTTTTCACTGCTTTAAAGGTGAAGCAAGAACTTGAAGCAATCTGAACATAGGAATCTAGATATGTAATATTTTTTCCACTTTGGAAAACCTTGTCACCCATACTAAATCAGTAGGAATTTTATTTAATAACTCACATTTAACATATTTATCAATACTTTCCAAAGTATTCCATTTGTTTTTTTTTATAAGCCACAAAGCTTTTCCCTTTCAACACTCCTGTTTCATCGGTTTAAATATTTGTTTAAATTAGTTAATCCTGATATCAAGCCTCGCCAGAAAAACAGGTGTAGAGATAAACCCAGCTGGTGAGAGCCCAGCGTCCGGCATCCCACAGAAGGCTCCTAGCCCGCCTGGAAAGTGTTGGCCGCCCAGCTGGCCAGCAGCTCCCTTGGCAGTGCTTGTACAGTGGGGATAACAGTCCTAGATTCTTCCTTGAGTTGGTCATATGAAGTGTGGATAAAAGAGACTTTTTTTTCTGGATAGCAAAAGAAGAAAGAGGAGACCAAAGAAATAATGAGAGAAGAAATAAAAGAGTAAAAACAAGCCAAACAAAAAGTCAAGTTTCAAGAGAGAACCCCAAAAATGTGATTCTACAAGTGAAAGAAAAGTATGGATACAATGAGAAGACACACATACACAGACTTGAAAGAAAAATGAATTTCTAGTAGTTGAACACTTGAGCGGAACATGTGAATACCAATTAAACTGAGACTGAATATACTTAAGATTTATGGGAGTGGATTATTCTGATATGTTGTTCAGCAGGGATTTAGGCTGTCCTAGTCCGCCTTGCATTCATTTGTCAGGAGCAATGAAAATAAACAGTGGCATATGCATCTCAGATCAGAAACCCCTTGTTTTAGGAGACAGACATTCGATGTACTTTACTGTGAATGATTGCTGTTTGGGTAAATTACTATTTATCTGAGCACTTCCTAACCTGAGAGTTCAAATCTGTTCTCCTCCAATAATGACAAGTGAGGAGTAACCTAAGAGAAAATGAGCCGATTCAAGACATTTTCCTCTTCACTTACCATTTCCAGGTGAGGTTTTAAGCCTCCCCCTTCTCTTGACTTGTTTCTTCCACATCAGGCTTCAGGGAGACCATTGCCTTTACCCAGCCAGAAATGGTTCTCTAGAGCATAGGAGTGAGTCTTGCAGCAGAAATTCGGTGCACCCTCCTCATTTTATAGTAAAGTTGGCTGTCGCCTTGGCCATAGATCGGATGGAATAGAAATACAGTGTATTATTGGCCCCCTTTTATGTTGGGAAATGCATTTTCTGTTGAAACAGCTATAGGTGTAAATAAATCATGGCAAGGTGTGTAGTGAGGAAATATGCTACTCTTCATTGCAGGACAGCCTCATATGACCTATTACATCCTTCGCATTTATCTGGAATTTCATGGGGAATAAATTACCCTCAAGTTGGAAGCCACCTAACCCTAAGAAGCTTTGGCCCTTTGTGCAGATCCCAAGTGTATCCTATAGAAAATGATTGCTTTAGTCACTCTAGAAAAAATGCCTAACATATATCTAGTGCTAGAAAGGATATAGTTCACAGTATGTATGTACTTTTGTTAATTATTTTCCTGTTCTGACTTATATATTGAATTCTGTTTTGTCTGTGGAAAAGCTAAAACCATTAGCTGGCCATTGGAAAATAGCTCACTCTGGAGACTGTCCATTTGTGTCCTACACTGAAGATGAATTTGATGCCTTATGTATGACCAGTGACCTTTACCAAAAGATTAAGAAATAAATAAATGTGGCCATAACATTTTAACCTGGACTGGGTTGTTTGTAGCTGCTGGGATAGCGTGCGTGAGCTGAATTCAAGCTGTCATGGGAATGTAAAAAAAAAAAAAAATTGACGATCACATGGTTTACTGTATCCAGAACCCTCCTCACTTCTCACGAACCCCAACTCTTGTGCTTCTTTTCAGGGCAGTCTACTTTGTTCGACATAAGGAATCCCGGCAGAGGTTTGCTATGAAGAAGATCAATAAACAGAACCTCATCCTCCGAAACCAGATCCAGCAGGCCTTCGTGGAACGGGATATCCTGACGTTTGCAGAGAACCCCTTTGTGGTCAGCATGTATTGCTCGTTTGAGACAAGGCGCCACTTATGCATGGTCATGGAGTACGTGGAAGGTAAATCAGTGTCTGACACAGAGAGCATGACACCTGCACCCAGAAACTGCATGCTCCTTTGTGCGGCTGAGGCTTTCTCCGTTGTCCTACGTGATGTTCGTATCCACCTCAGGGCGAAGCCAGGCAGTGAGATGGCTGTATTCCCAGTCATTATGTTCTGATAATTGCTTGTAAAGTGGCTGCTCTGCTATAACAAAGGGAAAATTAGTGCTATTTGGAAAAAAAAGTTGTTTTTCTTTTTTAATAGCTTTTAATCCTAACTATCTCCTCTCAATTGGTTGTTAAAGTTAGAATATAGGTGATGGGATTTTTTTCTTACTTACTTTTATCACACGGCATAAAATCTTTCATTGCAACTGATCCTAAAGGATGAATTAAAAAACATATCCTTTTTGGCCAATGGTATGAAATTAAAAATGTGTTAAGGGAAAAGGAGATATAAGTCAAGAAAATTTCCTTTTTTTTTTTTTTGACACTTAAGGCTTACCTTTTAAATGTTATTATTTCCATCAGTTTTACATTCAGTTTCTACACGTTTGGCCCTGACTTACTGATATAAACAAAATTAATAAAAGGAATATTTTAGGAAGGGCCAAAGCAGTCTCCAAAGCATCTAATGTAAGCTCTGTAAGCTCTTAAAATTGTTGGAGCAGAATCCCAAAACTATAAGACTCAAAGAAACATTAAATATCATTTAGTTCAACCTTTTCATCTTGCAGACAAGTGAACTGAAACCCAAGAAGCAGAGCAGACTTACTAAATATTTCACTAATGGATACAAGGCAAAAGTACAGCTTGCCCTGAGTTCCACCCGTTGATTTTGTTTTTATTCCCCGCCTCCCCATGCTGGCACTTGGCTTTATTAACCTTGGTTGTGGTTACAGTAACTAACATTTATCATGTGGTTTAAGTGTTGGCAGTATTCTAAATTCTTTACATAGATTACCTCATTTAATCCTCACAATAATCTGCAACGGGATAACAGTCTTACTATCCTGGTATTAGAGGAAAGAGCCGGGACTGGGTTGCCTAAGGTCTCCCCAGGTAGGATTTGAACTCAGGGAGCCTGCCCCAGAACCCATGCTTTATACTGGTGTATTTTGTTCTTCGAATTTCAGTTCCACTTTGAAGCCAGATCTGCTCCCTTAGGAATATTCCTGCCTTAAAAAAATAATAATTTCTTTCTTTCACACCACATCTTAATTAAGAAATGCGATTACTCGGTGCATGGTGTCCACTTAGGAATTTAAGATGCTGTGTGTGTGGCTAGAGGCCATTCTGCTCTGAAGGGGTGTAATCTGAACCATTCAGATTGGTCGTCTGTAATGGTCGTCTCCTGTCCTGGCCGCAACTGCACCTGCTGAATCTTGTGCTTGGGTTTTATAGGAGGTGACTGTGCAACGCTGATGAAGAACATGGGGCCTCTCCCTGTCGATATGGCCAGGATGTACTTTGCGGAGACAGTCTTGGCCTTGGAGTACCTACATAATTATGGGATTGTACACAGGGATCTGAAACCAGACAAGTATGTACATGAGGAGAGGTTTTTTTTTTCCACACAATACACAGAATTGTCTTATGTGTCTAAAAATGTTTTATTAATGGAGCTTTGCACATTTTGAAATTCTCCCATTGTGTCCCCAAAGAAGTTACTTTGGCAATACACAGTGATAGTTTTTACATAGTACTTTAAAGTCTCTGGTGCTTATAAGGAATGAAATAATAGCTTATAAGGAATGAAAGAAATACCATTATGAAGCCAGGGTCAGTTAAGTTTTTTTAAGTTGTTATTATGTTTATTTTTGAGTAGCTTCATAGAATGGTACTAGTTGTTTTCTGGATAGTTTCTGCCTTTGGTATTATACTTGGATAGCCCTTCCCTACTCTAAGATGATACACTTGATATTATATTCTCTCTCACTATTTAATTTTCAATCTATGTGAGGTTCATTTTTACTGTCTAATTTGAGATAGAGAGAGACTCTTTTCCCCTCAAATGAATAAGTTATTCGTCTTTACAGCATTTATTAAATGTTTTATGCTTTCTCCACTAATTTCAGACACATCCAAAAATATTGCACGTTAATATGTAAAGATTCTAAGCGTGCTTAAAATTTTATGATAAAATTCACTCATGCTCATTCCAGAAAATTTTGAAGTACAGAAAAATGTATGAAAAAATTGGTTGACAACATTACCAAACAAAGACAACTATTACAATTTTGGAATATTTCCTTCCAATAGCTATTTTTTCCTCTTTTCTCATGTCCTCTGTTCCTTTAATTTTTTAATTAATTAAAATTTTGATTTTTCCACTTACAATGAAATTTTTAAAAATTTAGATTCGCAAAAGTGTCGAATTGAATTCTTTGCATTACATAAGAAATTTACATTTTGTGCTTAATGAGTAGAAATTTAAATTTGAGCCATAAGTTGAAATCTTAAACAACAGTACCCTTTTCTGTCCAAGTGCTTTCTCTTATGTCTCACTTAAATCACAGATGGATTGCTTGTCTTAGTTTCTTATGTATGCAGTGGGATTATTGGTAACCCTTTTCTATTTTATTATTCTGAAAATAGAAAGATATCAGAGTCCCATACTTGAATTTTTCTAAGACTTTAAACCTGAAAGTGATACTGTATGTGGCTACCCCTACAAAGATCAACTTAAGCCTGGTGTCTGGCCCTCCCTTGTGAATTATACTCATGACCCAGATACATGTATGTAATATGTTCCTGTGACTTTGTCTCTTCCCAGGCTGGGTTTTATATTAAGATTGATACCTCAGGGCACCTGGATGGCTCAGTCAGTTAAGCCTCTGACTCTTGATTTTGGCCCAGGTCATGGTCTCAGGGTCATGAGGTCTCAAGCCCCACGTTGGGCTCCATGTTGGGGTGTGGAGCCCGCTAAAGATCCTCTCTCCTGTCTCTCTGCCCCTCCCTCTCACTAAAAATCAGTAAATAAATAAAAAAGCTTGATTTCTCTCTACTAAACACTCTCAATACAAATTGACGGGGGAAGGAGAAAGCTTAAGAAAAGAGAAGAATTTCAAAACAAGTGTTATAATGTGTGTCCTTCTGCTTCATAGTTTGTTGGTCACCTCCATGGGGCACATAAAGCTGACAGATTTTGGATTATCCAAGGTGGGACTAATGAGCATGACTACCAATCTTTATGAGGGTCACATCGAGAAGGATGCCCGCGAGTTCCTGGACAAACAGGTAAGCTATGGCCGCTGCTCAGTTCTAAAGAAAGAAAGTACGATACTGCGAGTGACATTCAGAATCTACTTGTGCAGGCCAGCTCCGCATTAGGCCTGGGCATTTAGATGTCTGTATGAGCCTTACGTTTAATAAAGTGCAAATTGCTTCCATTTTTCTCCCTGGGCCTCTTTGAACTGTCCGTTCCTCCACATTCCTCCCCCAGCATTATGGTCTATTAGCAAGACGAACGATGTAATTGCACACAAGTGAGAATGTGAGAGAGACAAATGGAAAACTGTTTTTGTAAGGAATTCAGGAGTCTCAGTAGAGTACTCATGAAACTCATGATGCATTGTACAATCACGGGTGCTAAAATCCGAGCCATGGCCCATTTCCCTTTAAGCATGCCTCATTACCATGTGCCCACAATCTGTTCATTGTAAAGTTACTTAAGGTAAACACATCTTAACTGTCATGCTTTTATGAAGTAGCCAGGATGTGGATATATTTTGGGCCTATCAGTGCTAAAACCATCCGTGGTGGTGACAGATTAAAAATGCATCATCATATAGACTTTCAGGGTTAAAAATGTTTTTAATACCATGAGATACGTAAAACTACCAAATAGGGTCAAACCCTCAATTTGAAATCACTCATTCCACATACCATAACATTAGAGGAGCTTAAACTTCCCTTTCGTGATATTTAAATATCTCCTTACTGATTTGTAACTGCCCTTCCTCCGTTCTTTGTCCGTGCAGGTGTGCTCTGGGCAAAATAATTGCCATTCACCCATCTTGCTCATTTTAATTCATGTCTAATATCCCAATCATTCTAATATCGCAATCATCTTTTAGGTCTGCGGCACACCTGAATACATTGCACCAGAAGTGATTCTGAGGCAGGGCTACGGGAAGCCAGTGGACTGGTGGGCCATGGGGATTATCCTCTATGAATTTCTGGTTGGATGCGTGCCATTCTTCGGGGATACTCCAGAAGAGCTATTTGGACAAGTCATCAGTGGTAAATATCATCAGGAGTTATCTTCGAGCGGCTATTGGGAAACCGCTATTTCATGCAATTCTGTGGAGCTTTGCCGTTTTAGCTACTAAAATGTTAACCTTTATCAAACGGTTTAGCCAACAAATTAAAAGAACTCACTCATCATAGCGCATAACTGACTTTCACAAATCTCAGGAGATCAATTTGTGCTGAAAATTGATCTGAGGAAGTGTCGGCAACATGGAATTTGGAAATGGACTGGCAGTGTAACCAGTTTTTATGGTGTGCTTTCCTGCAAAAGAAATTCACGTGGGATTTGCAAATCATGTCATTGCCGTCCAGCCTTCCTTTCCATAATAGGAAGGTTGCACCGAGGAAGAAAAGGTTAATGTGGGTAACATTTACATAAACGGGGGGGGGGGGAGAAATGGCTAATGGCACAATGAAGAAATTAACAAAAATGTAATAAACCCTAAAACAAATGTCTACCAAATAACAAATAATGAGAACGGGAAGGAAGCAAATTTAATCCACAGATTGTTAATGATTTCATTGGTGTTTGTTATGGTGTAATGTTATTTCTGTAACAGCTGTTCATCTTTCATTTAAAATTCAATAACCTTTAGATCTTCACCTGCATGCTGACCCTCACTATTGTTATGCGGCTTGTGGCAAAACTAAATGATCATTACATAGGCTCTTTTACTACCCTACCTGCTGTTTTGATAAATTTCCCGGAAGCATAGATCAAAAAGGCCTCTCCACCCCAAAGTTTATCAGCCATCATCGACAACCCCCATCACCCACTCTGACACCTTCTGGATTGGGCTACAGGGTCGAACAGTGGCAAGAGAGGGAGGGTTCATGTTGACAGGGGAGTCCCTTAATCATAGCATTATTCTCTATCATTAACTTTGCAAGCCAGGCCTATTTGTAAACTTTAACAGAGTAGATTTGTGAGTTGCCTGCAGTGTATGACCCTTTTTCTACAATATCTGAGCTGTTTATGGATTTATAACTAGGCTGTTTTCTGATATACCAAGGCCTGAATGGCAAGAAGAATCAACTGTTTAATTAACACAAGCAGCAAATGCTGGCTTTGTTCTCGATGCCTTACGGCTCAGATGCATATTCATGTTTTATTTTCCAAATCAGATTTAAACTGCAGCAGAGGAAGCTGGAAGCAGGCACACACAGAAATAACTCACGTTTTTATTGCATTTCCATACACACAAGCACGCACACCTTATCTTCAGGCAAACTCCAGTGGAATGTGGAACATATTCTAATATTTATGACAGATTTTAAATACTTCCATTACTACTATGATTACTTTGGATTTTTTTGTTTTCAAGCTTGGCATTTTGGCCTTCCGTTTGTCTCTAGAGGTAGTTATTTTTGCAAAATTAATTTGCATTTCTCGAAGCTGAAAAACTCTAAGGCTGGGGCCAAATTCTCATTTGAGGAAAGTAGGAGAGAAAAATCTTACTCTCTTGATTCCCTGGAAGGGCGACCATCTATAACACAGGTGTTAAGAGTGTCCACCACATTAAGTCATCATGATAACTAGAAGGATGAATTTGTTTTAAGTCTGCCAAAAAGAAAAAAAAATACAAAGAATCAAAAAAGCAAACAGAAGATACTGCTTATTGAAATATTTTCTCCCTGCCTTGCTGAAAGCAATGCTGCTGGTTCATGTCTCATGAAGCAATGCTTCTCAAACTTGACTGGGCCCAGGAATCAACTGGCAATCCTGTTAAAATGCAGATTCTGATTCAGTCTGGGATGGAGCCTAAAAATTCTGTTTCTCTAACAAACTCCCAGGCGACGTCCTGGCTGTTGGAACCTGGACTGTCATTTGAGCAATAAAGTTGTAAACTACGTGTCTCTTTTCTAGATGAGATCAACTGGCCAGAAAAGGATGAGGCACCACCACCCGATGCCCAGGATCTGATTACCTTGCTTCTTAGACAGAATCCACTGGAGAGACTGGGAACAGGTTAGAGCACATGTCTTAATTTTGCTAAATATGCAACAAAAATAATTCCTTTGTGGAGCATTCAGAGGTTTTTGTTTGTGTTTTCTATTTTTTGCGTAACAAATATCTGTTGGTTGATGTGATGTAGGACGTGACTACAACACATCATAACAATGATATTTTGGATTTTTTTTTCTGATTCAGAGCAGTATGTCCAGTATTATTTTTTTGTGAAGCAAAAGTTTTTCTTTCCTTGTTTCAATAAATAAAATTTGTCTGGAAGGAAACCTCCAAGGGCACCACGTAGCTCTTCTATCCTGAAAAGCATGCATCTTAAAGAAGTTAGAGGATTTGACATGTGGAGCTTTTTTTGTTTGGATTTTTTAAAACTGTGTACTCCCAGAAAGATTTAACCTAGCCCGTTGCTATCTATAGGCTTTGAAATGGATTATCGGCACTTGAACTAATTAATTACTAGAAATGAGTGTCTGGAGTTGAACTATGCTGTCTCATCATGGTGCTCCAGCACTATTGCCCAAGAAAGAGGATTAAAACCATTGGCGTTCAAGATTAAGGAGATAAGATTTGTCTCTTGCTGATTATTTTTTTCCTCCGACTGTTCTACTTATAGTGTTTGTTTCTGCTCCTCCTTTTCCTTCTCTTCCTTGTATCCCGAATGAACAGAAATCCCAATATAGAGTCCCAGCCAGCCCCAGCGTGTGAATTTATCTAGATGGAACTATTAAATATAAACACAATACACACACACACACACACACACACACACTGCAGGTAGTATCCATGACTTTCACCAGTGAAAATTGTTGACTTGATGGGTCATTTACTCTGAGCTGTTTTATTCTACCTCATTGTGATAGAAATATCAGAAAATACTGAACAAATCATTCTCTCCCTCAGTTTTGCCAAGACAAAAATAATTTGCAACAGCTCCAAATACGGGTTACTCTTCCATGTTTGCCCACAGTGTCCCCCAGTTGGGGGGCTCCGTTCTTGCTTAAGTGTGCTGTGCTACTAGAGTTTATGATGATGCATTGAAGCCCATTGGCCAAATTCTTCTCCTGTAAATAAAGTTTTACTCCAACACGGCAGTGTCATTCATACGCATTGTCTGTAGTTGCCTTCACGGGTCAGAGGCAGAGAGTCGAGTCATCAAACTGCATGGCCCACAAAGCCTAAAGTATTTACTCTTTGGCTTTGTACAGAAAAATCTCATTGACTGCATTAAGTGAATCAAAGAAGATTGAAACTCTGGGCTCACTTGGAAACACTTTTTTGAGTTGAGCCTTTTATGGGGGTACTGTGGGCCTCTCTGCCTTTTGCAGTGGATAAGTGGGCCTTCGACTAAGAGAGGCAATATAAATGGAAATGAAGGGTACAAACTCCAGTCCGATGGTCTGAGTTTAAATTTCTGCTGTGTGATGGTGGGCAGGATACGTGCCTTTCTGTGCCTCGTTTTCTCACCCGTTAAATGGAGCTTAGAGAACTACCGCCTCACAGGATTTTCATGAGAATAAAAGGTCATCCACTCTGGCTTTTAGGACTCGGTATGACACTGCTGCCTCTGGTACTGTCATTTTATCATCCCGCCTGCGTAATCTCAGACTTGACCCTGTGGACGTCCGGGAGACAGAAATGGTGATGGTGCCCCTACCTTTGAGCTACCCAAACTCTTTGAACAGAATACTTGATGTTTCTTCCCACCCTATTTGGTATTCCTGTTGTCTGAAGTGACTAGCAAAGTCGTTACCCCCTGCCCTCTGGAACCTGCAGTCACATTTGCTTTCTGGCTCCAGAGATACGAGTAGCTATCAAAGAATTGGTGCCAGGGCTCTGGATGGGGCTGAGTTTTGAGGAGTGATTTTTACCCACTTGAGCCAAATTCAAAGAAACAGTGGCATTTTCAGATTGTCCTGCAATAGCCAAATCTCAATTTCTGTGTCCTACTCAACTGTCCCGGAGAAGTGTTGTCCTGAGGTGTGACCAAAGATAACAATAGAATTGGCACATCCCTTCCCAAGAGCCTGCTTCTCTTTGCCATTCTTGGGTCATTTTGGAGAGTTTTCCCAGAGTTTTGTCTGTTTCCTTGCTGTAAGAAGACTTGGAATCTTGATTGGGCTTGATTTCAGCCAAACAGGACTATGATGATGGTCAGCATGGCCATGTTGATATATGTTTTATATGCTGTGAGTTACCTCTCTGCATTTTTCTCCCTGACTGCCACTTGCATTCTTTTCAGGGTTTGACAATTTGAGACGCAAGTCCCCTAGCAGACACTCAAAAGAGACATTTAAACGACCCTGCCCTAGCTCTTAGGGTTGTCAGAAAGCACTTGCCAAAGGGGCAGGTCCAACGTGACAGATCCCAGTAGGGCTCGGAGAAGGAGGCTGAGATCCCGCAGGCCTGCCATGCTGCTTCCAATGACAGCATTTTGGATTTAATGTATATTTAGCGGGCAAAATAATGCACCGTGAAAATGTGCGAATTCACATTTGCCTGAGAGAGTAGAGAGGCTGAGAAAAGGAGTGTGAAGAACATAATGGATGTTTAAGAAACCTCCATGAAAGGGAGAAACTCAAGGGAGAACATTAGTGTGAAGCATAACTTACAGTGTGGAAACTTGTCCTACTTGGACTCGACTTTTGAGGTTGTGAAGCTTGAGTGGCAGCCCGGTTTCTCGGACCCATAGCTGCTCAGATGTGACTGACTCCCACCTGTGCACCAGCTGCGAAGTCTGGAGTGGTTTCTTCATGAGCTGGGTCACCGTTTCCTAATCTAGGAAAATGGACATGTTATACCCTCGCAGGATGATTGTGAGGATTGAATGCAGATGTGTTCACAGAGCTACCAAGTACGTGAACATAGTGCATCATGGGAGCTGCAGCCATGACCAGTTCCCCTTCCTTCCCTGACTGGTGAATTCTCGCAGTGAGCGCTGTCACTTGCATGAGTTCCTGGGCTTGGTCATTTGTTTCAGGCTCATGATGCCATCATCCACATTGTACCAACAGTTTAGCCCAGAGGTCATCTCTCCCCCTGCGTCCTTTTAATTCTCTTGTTCCCCATGTCTGCAGAAGTGCTTGAGGAACAAGCACTCACCTGTGGTGAGGGGACCTCTTCCCAAGGGGTCACAAAGGCCAAAGGGTGAGAAAGGTGAGCTAGGCCACCAGTAGGCTGTGACTCTGTGGGGAAGGACCCATCTGTCGTCATCCACAGAAGATGGAGTGAATGTTCTCACAGACTTGGGTTCCAAGGAGTGGCACTTCCGATTCAGTCTGGAAGTGCCCGGTGAGCCCTTGGATCTAGAGAACAGTGCTTCTCTGAGTGAAGCTGAGCGACCTCAGAGTATCAGATGTCACCTGTGTGTCCCCATGAGCAGCAGCTGAAGTGAGAGTCACTGCAGTGTAGCATGTGGTACGCCACTCACTAGGGCTTGACACTTGACATCAGTGTTGGAGGCACAGTGAGGGAGTAAGATAGATATTTAAGATCTTTTAGCATCTCTGAGATAAGAACACTGGGAAAGAGTGTGTCTGGCAGCTTTGTGTAGGGGCGTTGGCATTATGACCTGAGGATGGACCTGGCTGGTTTTAAACAGACCTCAGCTCAGCCTCTCCAAATTTTATTAATGGGTGATCATGGTCCAATATGCTTGATTGCTTATCCTTAGTCTCCCCATCCAAATATGGAGTTGACGTAATGCCTACTTTGTGGGGTTAGTTTCAGTGATTTAACTAAAGGAGACTAGATGCCTCTAGCATGTAGTGCAATTCTTGTCCAAGGCAGCCTTCCTATCGGTGCTGCCTCTGTTAGGGTCAACATCAGACTTTACTCTTGTGCCGTAAACATGGTTAGTGCTGGGAGAGGATCCTGGATAAAGATTCTTTTTTTTTTTATTTTATTTTAATTTTTATTTATTTATGATAGTCACAGAGAGAGAGAGAGAGAGAGGCGCAGAGACATAGGCAGAGGGAGAAGCAGGCTCCATGCACCGGGAGCCCGATGTGGGATTCGATCCTGGGTCTCCAGGATCGCGCCCTGGGCCAAAGGCAGGCACCAAACCGCTGCGCCACCCAGGGATTCCCTGGATAAAGATTCTAATCAAATGCTTAGTAAAGAAGAATCTCAGGGCGCCAGGTGGCTCAGTCAGTTGAGCATCTGCCTTCAGCTTAGGTCATGATCCTGGGGTCCTGGAATCAAGCCCCACATTGGACTCCCTGCTCCTTGGGGAGTCTGCTTCTCCCTCTCCCTCTTCCTCTCTCTCTCTCTCTCAAATAAATAAATCTTTAAAAAAAGAAGAATCTCTTCTTCCTTTCTTGGGTGATTTTCCCACTTTGCTCTTTTCTTTCCATTGTTCTCGAAACACTAGTTTGTCCTGGCTGGGTTTGGGGCTCTGACCTGTACCCTGTGCTAGAACAATCTGATGGGGACAGAGCCACATCTCTGAACCACGCAGGCCCCACCCCAACATCCAGGCCCATCTCTCCTTCAGTTTGCATTTCTCATCCTATTTTTTTGTACCGTACCGAGGACAGGGTGGGAAGCATGACAGCTGTATGAAAGAGGCATTTACGTCACACCTACAGGGCATCTCCTGGCAGAGAGGTGATTAGAGCTTGTGTTAGTCTTGTGAAAAACCTCACTTCCTGGCGTTTTTTTCAGGATAGATTCTTCTTTGTCTCCCTCCTTAACACTGTGTGTGTGTGTGTGTGTGTTTGTGTGTGTGTGGCAGGGCAGGGGCTTGATTTTCATACTAGGATGGTATAACATGTGTACCTTCTCTTTACTGGGTAATAGTGTGATATTTTGGTGGGACCTGCCCATCCAAATACTTCTTTAAAATCATGAACTGAATTAAAAACATTTTATTCAATTGCATAGTCATGCTGACTTGGCCAAAAAAAAAAAAAAAAAAGAAGCCCTAAAACTTAAAAATTGTGACTGATTTCCATCACCTGCCCAACAGATTTGTCAGGTTCTTACTCAAGAATCAGTAATCCACAGAATCAAAGTCCTACCTATGGTAACGAGCAATCCAATAAAATTAAATGGAAACTATTATATACTATTTAGGGGAAATTCATCTTTATTAACCTTGCCTCCAGAGGAAATATTGCTGTGAACACGTTTTTGCACCTTGTTGGAATTTCTTTGGTTTTGTAATGAGTAAGACTGCTTTGGGCCAACGTACGTCCACGTCCCCAGGTTCAGTATAATGTGATTTTAAGTGGCCGCATCATTAACCTTTGAAAAACGGAGGAAGTCATGGAAAAATTAACAAAGAAGAACTGTGCCATAGCAACTGCTGTTAGCAAAATCAGATCCTCTGCTGATAAATTATGAGGGGAAAGTTTTTTGTGTGGGGGTGTTGGTTGCAGAATGAAAAAGTAAGATTTTTTATGATTCTTTCATTTATTTCTCTATTGATAGGTTTGATAAGGGGGGGCAGGAGTTGTTCTTAAAAGCTTTACTTGGAGGGTAGTTTAACATTTTCACCCCTGTCCTTTCTCTCCCTCCCCACCCCAAGGTGGTGCCTATGAAGTCAAACAGCATCGATTCTTCCGTTCTTTAGACTGGAACAGTTTGCTGAGACAGAAGGCAGAATTTATTCCCCAACTGGAATCCGAGGACGACACAAGTTATTTTGATAGTACGTGAATCGTCTGACACAAAACATTGTTTGACCTTTACTTTGTAGGAAATTATCTCCACTTGTGATAGAACCTTCCAGGCTTGAGCCTATGAGTTCTTAGACATAAGGCTGCTTCGGTATAGAAACTCCTAATTAATACATCTAAACCCAAAGCTGAAATTCTGAGTAATGGGAACCGTTGCCAAACCTTTCTCTGCAGCTCGGTCGGAGAAGTATCATCACATGGAGACGGAGGAAGAAGATGACACAAATGATGAAGACTTTAATGTGGAAATAAGGCAGTTTTCCTCCTGTTCACACCGCTTTTCAAAAGTAAGTGAAATGTGACAGAAGCATGAGGGTCTCTCCAGGGAATGTCCCTCGAGCCAGATAGTCAACGTCCCTAAACAGCTGGACAAGATCATAAAAAACACCTGCAGTGTTTTGGGGATTGGGGTCTCCTGTACGTAAAATTCCTTTTAGTTTAGGAAAAGTGACCCCACCATCTTGATAATCCAGAGCCCCTACCTACTTTTTTCACTCTCTACAGATGAATATCTTTTTTCTTGGAGGCTTAATGCTCATAGTGCCGTCTTTGGAAAACACGACCGTCCTAACTATGCCGACCTCACCCTGCAGGACCAAGCCTAGTTCGTTGCCAGGCTGTAGGGGAGTCCCCTGTTTCCCTGATCCTTTAACGGAGAATGTTGAGCTTGAGTCCCTATGTGTACAGCCCTCCTCCTAGTATCACACAGAACCCGAAGGAGCCGTATGGGTCCTTAACATCAGCTAGGACCCTCAGAGAGAGTTGATGTGGAATGAGAAAGTCTTGTGCCCAATAATAGAAAATGGAAGTTACTTGAAAGAGGCCAGTGAAAGTCAGGCTACAATTTTGGAAATGGGAGAAGATAATAAAATCAATGTCTGAGAAGGATGCTTTTTCCCGATAGTGGTAAGATTTAAAAAAAAAAAAAAAAAAAAGCCGAGAAACCTGACAGTCCTGAGACAGGGCAGGGCCCTAGGAAAATGGAAAAGAACCTAGAGGGCCCCTCACCTCCCTTTTGCTATTTTCAGTAGCTGTGCATTTCCTGTTGCCATGGCGTTTCGCGTGATGATTGTTCAGCATTTCCCTAACGTGGACTTTGTGGGGTGTTCTGTACCTTTCTCTGCGTGATACTACCTAGAGAGCCTCCACACATGGGCCGGCACTGCCCTCACTGCGTAAAGGAAGGCCATGGCGAGCTCAGGGCTCCCCGGAAGGGCTGCCCACCGGCCTGTCCTGAGCCAGGGCTGACGCTTTGGCCACGCTGGCTACAGCCTTTGCCCCGTGCCTTTGGCCTGTGCTCTGGCCCATCCCTGCTGGACCTTGAACCCTCTTTCCTTCCCACTGTCTCTTCTGTCCATCAGCCACACTGGCCTTGACCGCAGTAGGCTCTGGGCCACCTAACGGCCTCTCCCACGAGAGCAGCAGGTGACTGCAGTGCACAGTTGGGAGTGCTTCCTGCACTGGGCTCTCAGCTCCCAATTTTTCTTTCCGTCATCCCTGTGGGACCACAGAGATCTCAGGTCGGCCCGAGCCCTGATCCCCTTCAGAAACGCCGGTCCCGTCACAGAAGCTGCCTGCATGTGTATGTGATTTATGAGCCAAACACATACCTCTGACTCAGAACCAAATATGCTCTGCCTCCCTGCCCCCCCCCCACACACACACACATCTTGAAACAGGTAATTTATTCCTCTCTTCCCACTCAATTCCAATTCACTTTTCTCCTTCCCACTCCTGCCTGGTGGCCATTAGATCTTTTTCTCTGTGGTTTTCTTTTTCTGATAGACTTTCATGGTTAAAAAGTCATCTAAGATGTGCATTGATCCCCGGGCCTTGAAACTCCAAAGCGTCTGTGGACATTGTAGATGCAGAGTCCATAACGAGGCAAGAGGGTGATGAATTCAGAGCTTCCCACTCCAAGAAGAAAAAAATAATAGATATGGGGACCACTCATCTCAGGACTTGAATAGGCAGCATTGGAAAGTACCCTCTGCACACACGGTCCCAGTGGAGACCTTAGTCATGCTCTCAGGGCTTCTCTTCCAAGGTTTGGGGGGTTTTCTAACAAACTCCTTCAAGAAAGTACTAATAAACACCCAACGCTTCGCCTCGCAGGTTTTCAGCAGCATAGACCGAATTACTCAGAATCCCGGAGAAGAGAAGGAAGACCCTGGAGACAAAACCAAAAGCACAGTGTTGCCATCCACAGAAACCTTCAGCTGGAGTTCGGAATATTCTGAAATGTATGTGAAATGCCGTTAAGCAGGGTTCATAAGCAGCAGCTGCTAGAGCAGTGGTTCTTCAGCCCGAGTGAGCATCGGAATCTCCTGGAAGCCCTGTAAGAACACAGGTCCTGGGCCGATTCTAGAGTGTGTGATCCACTAGGCCTGGGATGGAGGCCGCGAGTAGGTCTTTGTAGTCTGTTGCAATTGCGTACCTCCACTGCCAGTCTGGGGACCGCGTCATAAGAACCACTGCGCTAGCTAGACCTGCGTTGGTTAGGCTTATCTGAGTTCCATTTTTACTCCTTTTCTTCCAAAAGTCTCCTTGAACACAGTTTCCTGGGATGTATGTATACATGACTTTGTTTTGTTTTTAATTAAGGCAACAGTTATCCACATCCAACTCTTCAGACACTGAAAGCAACAGACATAAACTCAGTTCTGGCCCACTTCCCAAACTGGCTATCTCAACAGAGGCAGAAAAAGATGAAGCGGCTCCCTGCCCCAGAGACCTCCCTGAGGAGCCAGAAAAGCCAGCCCTGCCTCCTGCAGAGAGCACTCAGGAGGAGCCCGAGGTCACCACTCCCGCCAGCACCATCAGCAGCTCCACCCTATCAGGTGAGCGCGTGGGCCTGGCGCCTGCTCCCCCCCCCCAGGCCCCGTGGAGAAGGGATTGCTAGTGTTCTGAACCTCGGGCCGCCCTTACTAGGCCGCAGCGATGGCTCTCGTGTGCTGCTGTACTCCCTCCACGGCCCCACGTCTAGGACGTGAGGCATCATCAGATGTCTCAGACCCCCCCTGACCACGTGGCCATACAGCAAACCCTCCTGGCTTCAGGTTGACCCCAGAGCCAGCCCGCACTCTGCACAGCGTGGTTTCAGGCGGGATCCTCTGACGGCGGACAAAACACACTGAACACTGGGTTGTGTTCTCAGCAGAGTTGTGTCTACGTCAGAGATTAGGAGCGAGGAACTGTATCAGTGACATGCTCAAAATTACTCTCACAAATGGCTTAAATCCCCATAGGGTAACAATATAAAGCCAGCTTTCCTTCTGGTGTTGAAGTGGGTGGTGGTTTCTTTAAAGGAGTCCGTTTGTTATGGGGCCATGTTGTGCCAGATAACTTAGGTGTCCACGGTAGACCCTGTGCAGCAGATGCTTATTCTGGGAGATTCCCGGATGCTTTCCACGTGTCTCAGGCTGAGAGAGGAGGAGGGAGTGAGAAAGACCAACATGATTCGAGTTGGCATTGAACGTCCATGTGAAATGTCTCCACTACAGACCCAAGTCATCCTCTCAGTCTCTGGGTGACTGGAGGAGAGAAACTCCTGAGACGCCGTTCACTGTTGGTGAGGCAGTCAAGGGGCATTGGGCTTTTCCTGGAGAGCACTTTACAGTGTCACTTTTGTGTGAAGGAACCTTCCTGACAGCAGTCACAGTATCTCCACAGGATCTCAAGAGGCTTTAATGTTACATTAGATGATCAAACTTGCATTTTTCCCTCAGACCAAGCCAAGTGTGCTTAAAATATTACTTGGTCTATAATATTTTTTTTGCATAGCATATCCTTCCACAGAGCAGTGTGCACTTATGCCTTTTTTTTTAAAACAAATAAAACATGGATATGGCTTAGGCTTGCTATGATAAATGTTTTCATTAAGCTATATTCACTATGCTATATTGATAACCATGAATGATTCCAAGAATTTTTATGAACTTTTTTTTTTATCTAACTGAATATTCATAGCATAACTCTCTTTAAAAATCCTTCAAAGAAAACACATTTTACTGACTAGGTTTATTTCAGCCTTACTGAAAAGTTTGCTTGCTTCTGTGGAGCTCTACATGTGCTTCTAGGTTTTCATGGGGACAGATAATGTGGGGTTTTTCTTCTTTCTCTCTCTTCCCTTCAGTTCTTTTTTTTTTTTTTTAAGATTTTATTTATTTATTCATGAGAGATAGAGAGAGGCAGAGGGAGAAAGACTCCCTGTGGAGAGCCCGATGCTGGACTCGATCCCAGGACCCTGGGATCACAACCTGAGTCAAAGGCAGATGCTCAACCCCTGAGCCACTCAGGCGTCCCTCTTCCCCTCAGTTCTTTTACCATGTAGGATAATTCCCCTTATCCTTACCTTTTTATAAAGCCACGAGAATAGCAACTTAGTGTAGACACAACCTAGTCGTCTAAGATCCTTAATTGTTTTTACTTCATCTTGGCAATGAAGTCCAATGGAAGTGTATCAGTATTTTATATTTCCGGATACTAGTTTATATTTAGTTTATATATTAGTTTATATTTCTGGTTACTAGATCTGTGTTTCTTAGTTTATTATCATGCTCTGAAGAGAGTATACTCACCTCCATTTAAAAGTTTTTCTTAATATGGTGGATGGCTTAGTCTCGGTGCCCTGGTCCCCATCATCAGTGTCAAAGGGAAAGGGAGGGAAATGGTATCTAAGCAGTTGATTGATTACTTTCATAATTAAAAAAAAAAAAACCCTACTTAGGTCCTGCCATGCATTTTGATTAATTGATTGAAACCACCTTTCTGTCTCCCCCATATACACACTAAAAATAATCAAAGGCCTTGGGGGCTGTACAGAATAGAGAGATGAGCCAATCCGCTCCAGGCCAAGGGTAATTAGGAAATCTGAAAACCGTGACTGTAGTAAAATTAAATTTGTTGATTTTTATATTGCTCCACCATCAAAAAGAAAGAACCCTTGACATTTACAGAACATTAAGGTGACATTATCCACCACTGGCAGAGCAGAAATGCACATGCTTCTATCCGGCGCTGTGAAGCCAGGTGGCGGAGGCCAGAGGGAGGGATGAGAGAAGAGAACACCATACACTCACACGCGGGCATTTAGGGAAGGAACAGCTCTGTACCTGTTTCTCTTCCTTCGTGACCACGTTGCATCTGAACCTGTGAAGCCTGACGTGTAGGGCTCGCATAAACCCATTATTCATTGTGAAGAAATTCAGCTTTCCCTTTTGTCCTTGTCAAAAGGACACAGCAGCCTCCCAAGTGCCACCTTCCCCTAGCGAGGACCCCACCTAGTGGGTGGGTGCCCCGCCTTGCACACCAAGGCCAAACTTGAGCAGGGCAGCTGAGGACTATATTCAGCAGCAGAACAGAAATGTGAATTAAGTCTTAGCCAACCTGACGCTTTCCTAGGAAAGAGCCTTGTGGTCTTTAAGATGCGCGGGCCGGCCTTTCCCAGGATCGTCTGTAATGATAGCAAATTCTCTGCATAGATGGCACAGCTGAAGGTGATGATCATGCCTTGATGGTTTTTAAAGCACAGGGGGCTTGTAGCACAGCATTTACTTAGAAATAAAAATGAGATAAGCATTGCTTTTTCTGGATGGACAAAGATAAACTATCAGTGATTTAAAGAAAGGAAGGAAGAAAACTGATCGTCTGCGAAAGAAAGAGTGGGAAAAATCAAAGGAGTGACTGTTCACCCTTTCTCTGAGGGACTCCACATGTTCCTTCTGCTCAGAAACTTTCTTGATTCCTGGCCTGCACCGTCACCCAGACAGACATCAGTGATTTTCCATTTTTGCCACCTCCTACATGGTTATGTTCTCTTGTGATCCTCTCCTGAGGCTCCTAATTATTTAACTAAAAACAACCAAACAATAACAACAACAAAAAGAACAGGTCCACTTTCTATTAAGGGTTAATAAATTTAAAAATAATAAAGAAGGCACGGCTGGCTTCTTGAGGGAGAAGGCCCTCAGCTCTGGTCCAGTAACTTCAGGGCAGATAGCGAATGACACGCTGTCTGGGGTGAAAGCCCAGGAAGGAGAGAGTGAGCCGGAGTCATGGAGTGGGTGACGTGCTGTGCCGTCCTGTGAGGTCTGCAAGGAGCGCAGAGTGTGGGGGGCGCACGGCGTGGGCAGTCACAGGTGACACTGCAGGTGCCCTTCTGTAGTGAACGCCAGAGCCAAGGCGTGTCCTAGGAAGATGGTAGGAGGTAACACAGGCAGGAAGTCTACGCGAAGAAAGGAGGTGATGTCCCCTTAACCCCAGCAGCATGCTCCGCACAATTCACAGCATTGCCAAGGACGATCACCGATACCACAGGGTACTCGTGACACGTAGTGGGCCATCATGCTGTTTATAGGTGGTGCCCGGTTCACAACATGACCTACCGTGGGTTGGAAGTGGTGGGGGGCCAGGGGACAGTGCAGGGCGGGAGAGGAGTTGTCACTGCGAGGGTTGCAAAATAGAGATTCTGGAAAGGAATGAGACTCCTAGTGAAGGGGAGTCCCGGGCTGAGGATCAGCAGACGCGTGTGCAGGTTGAGTGACACCTGAGTGGACTCCTCTTTCACCTCCTCGTCCACGTCGCCTTTCTCTAACCGGTCATGTGTTTGTGACATTTGCCTGAAACCACGTGGGCTTGCGAGCCACAGGGGAGGACGGTTCCCAGTGGCTTTTTCCTCCCCTCTCTCTTCCCCTCCCTCCCATCCTATCTCAGATTTCCCTCAACCGTGTTTATCCCTTCTTCTTTGCGCAGTTGGCAGTTTTTCAGAGCACTTGGATCAGATAAATGGACGAAGCGAGTGTGTGGACAGTACAGATAATTCCTCAAAGCCATCCAGTGAACCCGCTTCTCACATGGCCCGGCAGCGATTAGAAAGCACAGAAAAAAAGAAAATCTCGGGGAAAGTCACAAAGTCCCTTTCTGCCAGTGCCCTGTCCCTCATGATCCCAGGAGGTAGAGAGACGTCTACTCGCATGAACTTGTGTGATTTGTGCATGTGTTCCCCACCACCACCCCTTCCCCAGTTTGGACTGCTGATGGAGATGCAAGATTGCTAGAAGCAGGGGCAGGGGGCCCGACCCAGCTCCCCCTGGAGCTTCTCCCTGCGGGAGCTCCCGAGCTCCCAGACGGCATGTGTTGTTGCCCATTTCCTCTTTCTGCGTCAGGAATGAGACAGGCTTCCTTCCCACGAAGCCTTATTTCTTTTATTTGCTTTCTTTCCTTTTCTGCACCCCCCTCCCCAGGTTAAGTGGTAAATCTACCTCCCCTGAATAATTTTTCTTCCCGAGACTGTGCATCATTTGTATATTTTAGCAAGCTGTGTATGGCATCTGTGTTGGAAAGCCGAGTATCGTTTTTCCTCATCTAATTAATGAGGAAGTAGACATGGAGGACGTAAGTGTTTCATTTCTGGGGATGCAGAGTCCCAGACAGCACTGAAATTACACATTTTCCCAGCCCTGTCTGTTGAACTATGCTTCCTCCTACTGGTAGTCAAATCTTTTCCTTCCCTGTGTTGGAAGAGTGAGCTTTAATTGTGGTTTTGTGGGATTGCACTATTTTTCAAAACTGAGTTTTGCCTCCATAAGTTTACAGCCATTTCCCTGGAAAAGATGAAATACACAGCCTTGTGTTTGTGACTTAATCCTCAAATGGCAGCAAGAGAGTGGAAATGGCAACTGAATTATATTGCAGATGGCTTGCATTTAGAAGAACACAGACCATGTATAAAGGGAATTGTGTTTTCGAAATTTCCTGTTTGTGCAGAGAGAGATTTGATAGAAACAAATGCTCATTTGGGGTTACTGCTCAGTCTACCCCACTCTTTTCTGGAGACATCCTATTTAGCACCATAAAACAAACACCTGTCTCCCTAGTGACCATGTATAACTCAAAGGCAGTGGCCCCAGAGCAGCTGCAGTTAGGAAGGTAAGTCCACTTATCAAACCTGAGAGAAAGGCCATATCTTGGTCAAGTAGAGCGATGGTTCAGTTTGGGGCAGTGAAGGAAACCATCATGAGAGAAAGGATCAGGGGCTTTGCTTTCCAGAACTTTTGATGTGTGTGTGTCCACTCTGTCCCATTCCTGCTTGCATGGTTTGAAGTTCCCTGCCTATCACCCAGCCTTTTGACCTTTAGATAAAGGGTAGCCAGCAAAAGAGTACCAGGATGCCACATGCAGTCACAAAGTGAAGGAGCATGGCTTGTGACACACTCACTTTGTTCTGTTTGGACAGACCTAAGGATTGGAAGAAAGGATAGTGCGGGTACTTTCCGCCTGCTGTGGCCGCAGTGTCCTCACTGCACCTGCTGAGTCTTAGCAGCCTGGCTCTGACTGAGCTCGCCTTTAAACCTCAGCGTCTTTTATAGATTATTCTCCTTGTCAAACGCACACACGATTTCACGTGAGCAGTTAAGATCTGTTTGGATTCACATAGATGGAACAGTGATAGCGACAATAAATTAGAAGTGTGTGTGCTTGTAACACAGGAGAAACAGAGTAGAATTGGTATTGTGGAGTGTGAACTGAGTTTTTCTTAAAATTTCTCTAGCGCACCTGTTATCTCAGGATGGTTGTTAGAATCGTGGATACTATATGGAGACAATCAGTGGGAATCATAGTAGTGAGGAGTGGTTCTTCCATAAAGAAATTGGCGTTTTAGTGCTTCTTGACGAAAATCACTTAATGAGTACCAGGTCAATAATACTGTGAAAAGCACCTCGTGCACTGATAAATTGCTCTCCTGACCATGTGTGTTTGAGAAAGACCATGTTAAAGGTGTTTAGGGCAAGATTTGGAGCCTGAGGACCTCTCCCTATAGCCCACACAGTCTTCTGTGTGTAAAGGCATGCTTGAAGTGTGTGCGTCTATGGTTTGTTTCTTTAAAATAAAACGTACTAAGAACTATCCCAGCCAGGTAGGAGCTAGGTTTCGTGTGTGTTTTAATTAGTGTAGAGAATTAAGAAATGATAACTTCAGAGAATTAATTGAAAAATTAGTTAAAATAAAGCCGCTTTTGAAGCTTTCTTAAGAGCCTCTCTTTGGAAAGCCATGCTAGTTAGCAATACGGATGTTTTCTGGTTATTTCTTTATTAGAAATGAATGGATTTGTCTTGCAGCCAAGCTCCCCGTCACAGCAGGGCTAGCATGGTGTGGGCTGGCTGCGTGGATATTTGCGTGATCAGGACTGGCTTTGATGCCTGGCTTCTGTGTTGCAGATATGTTTGCCGTTTCTCCGCTGGGAAGTCCAATGTCCCCCCATTCCCTGTCCTCGGACCCTTCTTCCTCACGAGATTCCTCTCCCAGCCGGGATTCTTCAGCAGCGTCTGCCAGTCCACACCAGCCCATCGTGATCCACAGTTCAGGGAAGAACTATGGTTTCACCATCCGGGCCATCCGGGTGTACGTGGGAGACAGCGACATCTATACGGTGCACCATATTGTTTGGGTAAGACCAGCAGCCTCTCATCCTTGGGGGTTTTCACTCCCACCCATCCTGGAGAATGAATAAGTGGGCTGAGTCATATTGACGAACACTTTTTCTGTTAAGCTGGCATGTGGGACCTGTTTCAGGCTCTTTCCCTTTATGTAGTGGCATTGAACTTGGCCAAAACTAGTCATGTCTCATAATTCTGCCCACTTTTCATGTCCACTCTGCATACCAAGATGGTGGAAATCGTTACAGATAGTCCTACTGCCACCTTTCTTTTTTCTTTTTCTTTTTTTTCCTTTTGTTTGGTAATTTTTTAACTTTTTTATTGAAGTTCAATTTGCCAACATATACCATAACACCCCGTGCTCATCCCGCCAAGTTCCCCCCTCAGTGCCCATCACCCAGTCACCCCAACCCCCCGCCCACCTCCCTTTCCACTACCCCTTGTTCGTTTCCCAGAGCTAGGTGTGTCTCATGTTTTGTCACCCTCACTGATATTTTCACTCATTTTCTCTCCTTTCCCTTTGTTCCCTTTCACTAATTTTTATATTCCCCAAATGAATGAGACCATATAATATTTGTCCTTCTCTGATTAATTTATTTCACTCAGCATAATACCCTCCAGTTCCATCCACGTCGAAGCAAATGGTGGGTATTTGTCATTTCTAATGGCTGAGGAATATTCCATTGTTGTTTGGTCATTTTTATCCTGTCCTTTCATTAAAAAAAAAAAACTGCCTTCTCCATTCACCTGAAATTTTGTGAGGAATGGTCCTATTTTAGGATGATGACAGAAAAGGAATAATAACCATGGCTTCTGATTTCCCCCGAGGAGCTGAGGATCGTTTGCTGGTTACTCACAACATTGTCCCAGAAGAAAGAGTAGATGTTAGGGTTGCCCTTTGTTGGCTTACAAATGTACACTCTCTTCTTGGACTTTAGAACGTAGAAGAAGGGAGTCCAGCATGCCAGGCAGGACTGAAGGCTGGGGACCTGATCACGCACATCAATGGAGAACCGGTGCATGGACTTGTCCACACGGAAGTCATAGAACTCTTGCTGAAGGTATTATCTTTTTACATCCGTTCCGTACCGATGAACCAGGTCATCAGTAAGAACTGGTCCCAAGCATTCCCTCCCTGAGTTCTTCTGGTCTTCTCTACAGTATACGCACACAGACTCAGTGTAACCATGGAGAAAGTAGTCGGTAGTCTCAGGTCTACTATTAAGGAGGAGAGAATATGAATTCGCTGGGTTTTATATCATGACAACCATGTTCTCCTCTCCACACATTCCCTTCCTAAGTTAACTTCTTATCCCAAATCACAGATAAAAGAAGAGTTCTCTTCATTTTATGAACCTCCCATAGTAAAATCTATTTGGAAATCACTTGCCCTACAGGTGATGTTCTTCAGGAGCACAAAGTTTAATTCTAGTGTGGTGGAGGATGAAGTGATATTAAACTGTGGGGTCAGAGGTGAAGGTTTGGTCTGAGAGTTGGCTTTCTTTTGAAAGACAGAATTGTGAGTACAGGGGCGCCGGGGTGGCTCAGTCAGGTAAGCGTCCGATTCTTGGTTTTGGCTCAGGTCATGATCTCCGGGTCATGAGATGGACTCTGTTCAGGGGGGGGCATCTGCTTGAGACTCTCTCTGTCTCTCTCTCACTACTGCCCTTGCTCACTTGCTCACTTTCTCTCTCAAATAATCTTTTAAAAAAATTGTGAAAATATACACATATACTGTAAATGACAGAAATAGGTACTGATGGAGGATGGGGTTCTAGCAATCATTAGGCCTTTCCCCCCACATACACAAATGAATTTGAACGTAAATCATTTTCTATTTTGAATGTAAGCTGAATAAAGCCTGTGGAGTTAAGACCACAAGAAGCATGAACGTGAGTGGAGAGAGAAAATCTACACTGATCCTCTCAATTCTATTGAGTTACTTGCTGTGTCACCTGCTGACTGTAAAATATAAAGTTATAGCTTCCAAATACCGATCCTGTAAAAACAGGGATGAAGTTGTGTTTGGTGTTAAGTTTGTTCAGAAAAAAGAAGTCTGTGATCAGAATTACGGTCTCTCATTAGAGGATCATTTGACAAAAATCAACAGATCTATGGATGACCTCTTGCTTTTTGAGCACCAAAGGGGCTGTAAGGGACTTCTCTACAGAGAGGTGTGAGCCATAGCCTCAAACAATGAGAGACAGAACAAAAGTACATATGTGCCATTTAAAGGGTGTCCATTTAGACCGTTTGCAGAACACTTGCTCGGAGTCCGGTGCCGTGGTAGATGTTGGTAACACAGGAATTAAGGTATAGTCCTTGCCCTTGAGAAGTATGGGAGATGGAGGAGACAGATGGAAGCAGATAAAGTATAATGTAATTAGGCAGGGCTGTAGCAGAGGGAGGAATGTCATACTTTTGGAGAGAATATTCTATGAGTGGGGAGGGACACTACAGAGAAATTTCATTGAATTGCAACATAAAAAGAAAATTAGAAATGTAGAAGGCACTACAAAGAAGTGGGTGTGCTAAGCCTTCCAAAAATAAGTACAGTTTAATGACTTTTCTCCTTTTTGGCCATCCCCCCAGCTAATATGAATGCATTCGTCAAAAGACTAAGGGTCTGGCCTCGGTTCGGAGAGTAGCAGTAGCGTGCATATTCACAGGTCCATTGTGAAGTAGCAGATTGTAGGAAAGTTATTGCCATTGATTAGTTCACATTATTAACCAAATTTTGGTCTTGGGCTCAAAACTGAAGTCTGAGGGGCAGGGGCATGAGTTTGCTGTCACTCATACCTGCAGGCTGTCCCCCTAACGCTAGCCAACTTTCTCACAAGCGCACGTATCGATCATTGGAGGGAGAGGACTCCGTATTGAGAGAGCATTGCAGCGCCCTAGGCCGTGTTGGAAATCAGCTGACAGGCATGCTGAACACGGAGCAAATCTGACGGAGCCCCGCGGGGGGGATGGCAACCATTAGAGCTTTCCACATCACCCCAGCACTTACCCAAGGCCTCGGATATAGATGGGTGCACGGTAGCTGTGGAATTGAGGTGAACCATGGGGTCCTCCTTTGCCTGCTCTCCAAAAGTTACCGTGGGAGGAGCCAAATACCACACTACTACTTTTGTCACATCTAGACTCCTGTCTCGATACACGTGCCATTCCATTCGCCATTCAGCATTAAATGGCTGGCGTCAGTCTGTGCTTTGCAGTGTGGCTCCTGAACAGAAACAGATGACACGTGGGCAAGACCTGAGTTTTTGAGTTCCGTTCACCATCTCTCCCTGATACTATTCTCTGTCCACCTGGTATGCAACACCTCGCTCACAGGAAGTATCCAAGAAATGGGACGCCCCAGCAGGCTTGCTGACTCGGAGGTCCTTTGGCTGTGAAAGCCCAAATGACTTGGGGCTCTGTAAGACAAAATTCTAGAGGGGATATAAAGACTCATGAGTCTGGCCAGCAGCTCCTCTCACAGTGCCTACTGCTGTGGTCCAGGGCTGCCTGTGGCTCACTTGCAGGTCGACCCTTTGTGGGAAAGAGCCCCCCCACCCCGAAATTGTTTTGTGTTGTCCCCCTCCTGTCCACATATCCACTATACAAACCTTCCCCCTGCAGAGGTGTTATTTCTAAAGTGCTCCTCGCTCTTGTCTAGGAGCTCAGCCTTTGTTTCAGATAGTAAGTCTGTGTTTTACAGGTGAGGTTCTCTTAAGAAAAGGTGACCTCTTCTTAAAAGAAGGTCAAAGGGATTGTAAATGGTGACATAACTTGGCTTTCTACCTCCTTTATGGCGGCACTGTGTTACAGGCCGCACAGCTCCAGCCACAGCCTGTCTTCACATCATTTCGTGTATCTGCTCGTAAAATCAGAAGGAAAAATACTAAACTGAAACATATCTTCAGAAAATAGGCGTCTGTGTATTTTGCTGAGGCATTCGATGATTTTCATAATTTATTTTATATCGAGAGCATTCTGGATTTTTGAAACTTCCTTCTGTGAAATTTGAATACAGCTTTCTCCTGACAGTCTCTGGCAAAGTCGTTCGGCAGAACCAAGTCCCATTTGTAATGTTCTGCCTCCGTCTGTGCGGGGCACCTTCTTTCCAGGATGGAGTCAGGGAGCCTGTGAGGTTGCGCAAACGCAAACACGCCGTGTTGGAGGGCCTTGGCACCTTTCGAGGCCGTGGCATGCTTTGTCACAGAGCCAAGCAGAGGATCCTGCCTCTGGTTCATAAAGGAAGCGCTGGAGGGGAGCAACCAATGTCATGAAACAAAAAGGATACAAGGGACTTAATTATCTTCCCAGTGAACTGTGTAATCACGCAGCTTTCTTCCAAATTTGAACAGTGATTCTTGGACAAAGTGTAAAGTGAGTGGTATCCACACTGGGCTTCCTCACGCCATCACTCGTGGAGCATCAGGGTAGCAGCTCTGTTTTGGAATTCTTGGATGCCGTTTACTTGATGCTTTACACTTGCCAACTACTTGCCACGAAATGCCATGGCACCCTTAGGAGAAGGTGGAGGCTGCTGTGTGTCTGTTGAGAAATGCATGTGTGGCGTTCATTTATCATTTGGAATCTGAACGTAAGAAGCATTGTCCACCTGTAATGTCCTTGCATTCGGTCTCCTTTGCCCTCACACCTTCAATGAACCTGCTGTGGAAGCACTTACGTCCACCGGGAAGCTTGTCCAAAGTCAGTTCACAGCATAGGCCCATGGAGTGAAACCATCACGTGGTTCTGGGGTTCACTTCCCACCCACCCCCCCCCCGGCCATGAATTCCATGCAGGGTGCTCCTTCCCCTTTGCCTCACGTCTCTCCTGCCACGAGGAGACAGTCACCTCCTTTCGGCTCTCAAGTTGCTTCCTGAAAGGACTTCGTGAAAGCGATGACCTCCTCCTCCACCCGCCGCAGCGTTGGGTGAAGCCCATAGGGACCCACACGACAGCGCGCCCAGCTTCACCTCCCCAATACGGGAAACTCTCGGCTCGACCAGGTTGCTCTTCCGGGACAGCCTTAGTTTAAGCGCCCGGTGCCCTAAAACTTCCTGGGCCCCTGCTGCACAACTTGCCCTCCTGTGAACTCTGAGCAGCTTCGCGGTACTAAAGGCAAGCCGTCAGATAGCATCGCCATCGCCGTCCTCACGGACTCTGAGCCTTGTGGCGGGCCTCGAGGAGTCGTACGGCCCAGGACACCGAAGACGAGGCGCCGAGAGGGTGTCCCTAGATGAAGGCCTAGAATGCCCTCGCCCCGTGAGGTCGGTGCCGTAAATAACCGTGTGTCCCCACTTTCCAGATGAAGAGATGAAAGCAGGACAAAGTTAGCAAAGCAGCCCGAGGTTGTCCGCCAGGAAGGAGCAGAGCTGCCGCCCACGTGCGTGTGAGCGGCGTCGGGCCCTGGGGCTCCTCTCCGTGCCCTCTCCGCCGGCCGGCCGTGCAGCTCGGTGCCAGTCCGCGGTCCAAGTGTCCCACATAGGAGCAGCCCGCCTGTGCGGCCCAGACTCCAAAGGAGGCAGCTTTGTGCTAGGCTCCACGCGGAGGGGAGCGGGGGGAGGGTTGCAGGCCCGGGGGGCTGGTGGAGAGGGGCCAACGCCAGGGCGTGTGGGGCGGCTCTGCAGCCCCAAGGGGGTGTACGCAGACGGGAGGGCAAGACGGCCCAAAGCACCTGGGGAACGTGAGTGGCTCGGGTGGCAGGGGCCTGGGCTTGCACGTGGGACGGAGCGTGCGAGGAAGCTGGGACTGGCTGCTGGAGGGTGTGAATCAGGCCGACCCGGGCCTGCGGGGCGTGCGCCCCTCCCCGCGTGCGTTATGCACAGAGAGGCGTGTAGGCAGCGTCCACGTCCATGAGACATCGCCGGCCCCCCTCTACGGGACCCGGAGCCACGCTGAGAGGGAGAGGCCGGGTAGCTTGCTGTTGTGTTCAGGTCAGCCAGCTTACAGGGATTTCCCTCCCACCGTGCGCAATTACACAAATAGTTGATAGGAAAAGTGAACAAATTGAACACTTAACCATCTGCTGGCCCCATTTTTTTTTTTTAAGTAAGTACAGAATTTCTCTTAGAAGACTTCACTGGTTCTTCAGAAGAGCGGATTGAGGATAAACTGAGCCCATAAGAGGCACCGCAGAGCTCAAGCCAGCCCCCCGGGTAGCCGTGGATCCGCCAGGCGGCAGGCTTCCTACCTACCCGGTTGTTGATGAAGTTATTTGTCCATTCATTTACCATTTTAATTATCATCCATGCTCCCAGGGAAGTGTTTGCACTCTGGGTCTTCTAGGTCTGTAGTTCTTCCTCAGGGAAGTTACCTCGGCATATTTACGTAAATCCAGCAAACTGTCCTCTGGAACAGCCATGTATTAGAAACATGAAGGAGAAACTGGGTTTGTTTTTTATAGAGGAAGGGAACATTTGTACAGACCTCAGTGATGGGCCCTGATTTAAAAACCCTGGTTATAACTACTTTCTGATGAGCTGCGTTTATCGTTTCTATTTGTTTCATTCAACGTTGATGCAGTTTTCAGTCTCCTCAATTTCTTCTTGACCGTCTCCTATGCTGATCATTCACTGTGTTAATCCAGTGCGTGGTTCCCTCACCACCACACATGAAGTATAAGCCGCGTACTCTGCTGGGAGCAAGAGAGGCGGAGGATCAGGACATGCCAGAGCCACGGGGCGAGCGGCCACAGAGGATGAGGGACAGAGAGCCAGGTGTAGACCCTTGCACGGGGCTCTGTGACCTTGGGGAAGAAGAAAACTCTGTGTCCCTGACTCTCTTTTCCTCATCTAGAATGCAAGGATAACAATTCTTTCCCACCTCACAGGGTTGTAAAAAAATAGAGCAGCCCTCACGACTTGGTGGGGAAAATAAAGTAAGAGAATATATGTGAAAAACGCTTTAATGCGGAAAATGTGCTCTAAAAAGGCTGCGTGGCATTGTTAGCCTTTCTGTGGTGAAGATGTGAAAGCCAGTGGTGAATCACGCCAGAAAGAGTAGAATGTTGTCAGTTGTTAGGAAGATTTGTTGCAAGTCCCATGTGTTTAGGTTTAGTAGGAATCATGTGCCTCAGGCTCAGGACTCGTAGAACAGCGTCAGGGATCACGACGGCTCTCTGGGCCCCCACTGCAGATGAACATGGACAAGGACTGAAAGAACTCCCGGGAAGGACAAACTCTGGCTACACTCGCTCTTTTCATTCACCTGAGGCACACAGGACAAACTCCAAGCTTAGCATGGCCTCCCTCAATTTGTGAGAAGATCCCATTCCAAACAACCTCCCTTGGTAGGCCTTTCACACCTAGAAGCTAAATGTGTTCAAACAAGAACTAGAACGTCAATCTTTCCTAGCAGATAAAGGTTTATTCTTAAAGTTGTGGCATTTGCATGCAGAACATATGGTTTTTTCTCTCAGAAAAATGTTTTTTTTTTTCTTTTGTTTCAGTTCTAATCCTATTTCCCTAAAGTATTTTTTTACAATTAGGACCTTAGGTGTGGGAAGACATGTTCTTAAATATCCAAAAAAAACCCTATAATATCAGTCATAAAATACTAAGACTTGCTGATTCTAAAGTGAATACAAGACATGGACAGATCATCTCCTGAAGAAATTAGAAATGACCAAAATAAGTGCGACAGCATCAAAGAATGAAGATTAAAACTTGACACAACTTACTTATAAAATTGGTCACTTGTTTAATGCTAATATTCAGTTCTGACAAACCTGTGGTAAGAAAGGTATTTATGGGGACCCCTACGTGGCTCAGTCGGCTAAGTGTCGAGCCCCAGGTCAAGGCGTGCGCTCAGCATGGAGTCTGCTTGAGATTCTTTCTCCTTCTGCCCCTCCTCTCGCTCTCTCTTAATTTCTTTCTCTCAACCACTCTCTCTCTCTGTCAAATAAATTTTAAAAAAAAGTATTTATGTGCTGCTGGCAAAAGTGCACATTGACATAAGCTTTCTGGAAAATAATGTATTAATATGTACCAAGAGTTTTTAAAAGGTTGAGATAGACCCTTTGATTTGCTGCATTGACTCTAATTATGTAATCTAAGGAAAATGACGGAGATTAAGGCAATGATCTATAGATAAGAATATTTATGGCAACTCTTGAAAGAACTGAAAAGTAGAAAAGAATAGCAGTAGGGAAATTAAGTTTTGATTCCCCCATCTTGTGGAATATTGTTGCACAGCCAGTAAAAATTATGTTCTCAGTGAACGTTCGATGATGTGGGGAAGGTTTTCCAAGTTATGTGATGTGAAATGGAAAAACAACATAAAGCTAAGTATCTGATTAGCTAAGATTAAAATTATTTGTGAGATATGTCTGTTTATGTGCTTCATTTATACGTGCCTGAGAAAAGGTCAGGAAATGATGCTGAAATATTACCAATGTTAGCTGAGGAATAGGCTCCTCGATGATTTTTAGTTTTGCTTATACTTTATAATTTCTTCTTCATAAGGTGGTATATTATTTCCCAAATTGGAGAGGGGGAGTCGATGTTAACATGAAAGCAGTCAGTCCCCACCGGTTTGGTGCTCTGCCCCCACCACACTCAACTCCCCGTCACTTAGTACCACTTAGAGCCGGGCTGCTAGGGGTTTTCCAGGCGTAGGCCTCTTTAAAAGATCCTTCTCCTTATGTTCCTTGTCTTTTCGAGGTAATCAGGGCCATCTGTGACTTTGAAAGGACATGTTTTTCCCCTGGGTATTAAGAAATTCAAGAAGAGGTCATTGAAGCAGGAGGGAAGGGGATCAGCCTACCCTCTACCCTAGGCACCCCTCAGCCTGGCTTCTGACTCCACCTCTGCTGTCTACCCTCAGGGCCTGCCCAGTAAGCCCTGTCCCAGCACTGAGCGAAGGGCCTAGAAATCCACCAGGAGTTCCAGGAGTTACCTCGCCGTGCGTGACCTGGTTAAAGAGAGGCTGTTTTGTACTCGCCGGCATAAACTTTGCAGCTCTGCAGGCTGACAGGTTTTACGATGACAGAAAAGGAATCTTTTAAAATAATTAAAAATAAAAATCTCATTCACTTTTGCTAGGCTATGATTTCTAGGTCAAAGGAAAAACACAAAAAGGAGAAAAACAAAAAATAAATCAACCAAGAACAGACAGCCCCTGGGCACATTTATACTAAATACATATGGATGAAGATAACTGCTATTTATAGAGTCCTCTCCATGTGTCCCACTCGGTGCTGAAGGCTTTACTAACTCCATGCCATGTAATCCTCCCACGGCCCCCGTGAGCCAGGTAGGACTCCTCTGTTACACGGTGCAAGTGTTTGAGGTATAGGAACCAGAAGCAACCTGCTGAGGTCACAGAACTTGGATTTGAACTCACATCTGTGGAGTCCAGAGCCTGCCCTCTTAAAGAAACCTGTCATTAAAAAAAGTCATTTTTGCCTTCCGCCCCCTTTGTGTTAGGATGTCATTGCTCCAAAGGTTATTTAGAAATAGAAGGCTTTTGTCCATATGTCTTTACGTACCTTTATTTGTCTTTGAATCTCTTGTCTGGGTTCTGATCTCGTTTCCTCCCAGAATTTCCCTTTAATACCACCACAATTTTTCTTTTCTTTTTTTTCTTTTTTTTTTTTTTTTTTACAGAGTGGAAATAAGGTGTCAATCACTACTACTCCATTTGAAAACACATCAATCAAAACGGGACCAGCCAGGAGAAACAGCTATAAGAGCCGGATGGTGAGGCGGAGCAAGAAATCTAAGAAGAAAGAAAGTCTAGAAAGGTTAGTTCAAGCAGCATTTTTTGTGAGCTTGGTATATACCCTGTTGGAGGAAAGCTTCTCCTTACCCAATTTAAACACATTATGAGAAAGGTCCATTTCTCTGTGAGGAATTTCATGCTGTGGTTCAGATATTTATACATTAAAGTTCATATTCATAACAGCATCATTTTTCACAATGAAAAGATTTACATGTTACCTCATAGAAGAATTCAGATTGCTCCCCCCCCCCCCCCCCCCCCAGTGTGAGTACCATGTAAAGCCCTTTGCTGTTTCTTAAGCCTCTAGACTTTACTTCAGGAGAGTTGGATTTAAGGCACTGGACCTTCAGGCAGTTTTTAGCATTAAATCTCCATTTACTAATCTCCTTTATGTTATCTAAAAACAAACAACTGCTATTTTTTTAATCCTAGATACTCGAAAATGATCGTTTTAAAGCATCCAAATAAGCCTAAAAATAAAGGGGTTTTGCTTTACTGACTGAAGATCTAACTGGGTTACACATTTGCAATCTGGGAGGCAGTCTTTTTGTGCTCTGTGCGGACACTGGCGAGATGCGTGTTTGTGTCTGAGTGGGGACATTTCTTGCCAGACAACTGTCTGGATGAGCTCCCTGCATGATACCACAGCAGCATCTTTCCTTTGCCCAGGTGGATCTAATGTGTCTGACTGTATGAGGATTTTTGATGATAGAAATGTGGGGAAATAAGCAAATAAAATGGGAATGCTTATTAACTCCAGGAAAGACGACAGCAAGCAAGAAAGGAAATGGGATCCTGCTTTGCATAGCCCAGCTGTGAACAATTATTTATAATATAAAATAGAGGGGGAATAAGAAAAAAAAAACGGGGGACAGCCTTTTTTCTAACTGAAAGTTTTGGTTTAGCTCTAGAGGGAGGGATAGAAACGTAGTAGTGTATTTGGTCAGAGGGTGGGAGGGGCTTGTGTCAGAGCTTCATTCTCATCTTCTGAGCTAGGAAATCAATAGATCGTTTCTGGAACTGAGAAACGAAAACATAAAAAGATCACTGAGCAATGTGCAGACAGGTAGGAGAAGAAACTGCTAATGGAGAAGAAAGTGGTTTCTCTGGTGAGTGGGCCAAGGGCAGAGTAGCGGACTTGCTTATTTTCTTTATGAACTATAGAGAATGACTTAATTGTTTAACCCACAAACATTTATTACTTGGATTAAAATCAAATGTACAGATTCTGAGATGTATGCTTTATGAGCTAAGTGAATGGTTTCTATATTTTTTTAATGTGCGCTTTATATTCTGTGCTTTTAAGTCAGAGAACACGCTGTTGCAGAGGGGCAGCGGTGTTGAAACTTGTTTAAGCTCTCTGGGGGTGAATGAGGCTTGCGTGATGGTAAAGACAAAAGAACTTTTTACAGCCATCTGAAGCTTTCCTTTTTTTTTTTTTTTTTTTTTCTGCTTTAAGATATGCTTGTTGAGCACTAAATACACATTTGCTTCTGCTGCAGCTCAGTGTCTGGTGCCCTGCTGATACGATAAGCTTCAGTTCACCTTTCTTGCTTTTTCTATGTTAATGTACAACCTACATTGTCATTAAGAATTTTCAAGAGCCCACGGTGGAATAAGCAGGGCAAACAGCCCCTCCTAGATACAGCCTCTGCTCAGTGTATCACCATTAAAGAATTCTATATCCAAGGTGATGGTTCCTCTTCCAGAGATTTACCTGGTATTATCTCTTATGAAAGTGTGTTTTGGGATCTGAGGGGGCGCATGCTTAGAAGCATTCAGGTGAAGGACGCCCTCCTCATAAACCTGACAGATAAATAAATGAATACGTATTTTGTATTTTTCCTCATTTCCTCAGCTCTTCCTAAAGTCTTTGGAATTAAGAGAGCTTCCGATGTATCCTCTCAAAGACTCTTCCTTGTCATTAGAAGGTTTTTCACTTGAAAAGTGAGAACCGACATGCCTTTAGCGTAGAACCTGCCGCTGTAAGGCCGTCCCTGGTACAGAGGTGTAAAGGGACTGCGCTGGTGTTGTGGGGAGATGGTAGGGGACCCCGAGTGTGGAATCTCATTGGTTTCCTCTTGCTTCCACTCTAGGAGGAGGTCCCTCTTCAAAAAACTAGCCAAGCAGCCGTCCCCTTTACTCCACACCAGCAGGAGTTTCTCCTGCCTCAACCGGTCCCTGTCGTCAGGGGAGAGCCTCCCAGGTTCCCCCACGCACAGCTTGTCTCCCCGTTCCCCCACGCCCAGCTACCGCTCCACCCCTGACTTCCCATCAGGTGAGTGAGGCCCCCGAGCAAGGGACAGGTGAGAGGAGGCCAGGATCACTCTCTGAGCTCCTGAGGGACAGGAGGCTCAGGCCCTAGGTGGTGGTGGACGGGATTGAGAGGGTGGCCGTGAGACGATGCTGCATAGACCCTTAGGGCAGGAAGCACTGGCCTGAACCCCGGCGTGGGGAGGGCCTACGTGAACAGGCGTGTATCCCTGGGTTAAGTGCGAAGCTGGCCTTTATCCGACCTGATCTGCAACAGCTGGGGCAGGCAGGAAGCACGGGAAGAAGAGGGAGGGAGTCCCCTGCTCACGGCCTTCTGTTTTCCATGCAGGTACTAATTCCTCACAGAGCAGCTCCCCGAGCTCCAGTGCCCCCAATTCCCCAGCGGGCTCAGGACACATCCGGCCCAGCACCCTCCATGGCCTGGCCCCCAAGCTCAGCGGACAGCGCTACCGGTCCGGGAGGCGGAAGTCGGCTGGCAGCATCCCATTGTCCCCCCTGGCCCGGACCCCCTCTCCCACGCCGCAGCCCACCTCCCCACAGCGGTCGCCATCCCCTCTGCTGGGTCACTCGCTCGGCAATTCCAAGATCACCCAGGCCTTTCCCAGCAAGATGCACTCCCCTCCCACCATCGTCAGACACATCGTGAGGCCCAAGAGTGCAGAGCCCCCCAGGTCCCCGCTGCTCAAGCGCGTGCAGTCAGAGGAGAAGCTCTCCCCCTCCTACGGCAGTGACAAGAAGCACCTGTGCTCCCGCAAGCACAGCCTGGAGGTGACCCAGGAGGAGGTGCAGCGGGAGCAGCCTCAGCGGGAGGTGAGCTTGCAGAGCCTGGAGGAGACCGTGTGTGACGCGCCCTCCCTGAGCCGCGCCAGGCCTGTGGAGCAAGGCTGCCTGAAGCGCCCCGTCTCCCGGAAGCTGGGGAGACAGGAGTCCGTGGATGAGCTGGACCGAGAGAAGCTCAAGGCCAAGGTGGTAGCAAAGAAACCCGATGGCCTCCCAGACAAACAGGATCCCCACCAGAAATCCCACGGACTCGGCAGCGATCTGGAGGCCCTCTCTACTTTCAGGCTGGAAGACAGGGAGAAGAAACTATATCCAAAGGCATTAGAGAGGTCGAGTCATTTTGAAAGCAAAGTGGCCTCGCAGGAGCCCCCGTCCCTGGGCAGTCTGCTGAAAGGGGCTCTTCACAAGCAGGCCAGCGTTCGGGCCAGCGAGGGGGCCGCCTCGGAAGGGGCACCCGGGGACCACAGCCAGGGCGTCTGTGACTTCAAGCGCACCTCTGCTCCTGGCATCCTCCAGGACGGCCTGTGTCACTCCACCGACAGGTCCAGCTCTGGGAAGGCTGAAAACCTGGAGAAGGCCCCCCCGGCGAAGGAGTGCCTCCGATGTGAGAAGTTAGACAGCAAACTGGCCAACATCGATTACCTCCGAAAGAAGATGTCATTTGAAGACAAAGATGACAGCCTGTGTTCCGTGCTCAAGCCCAAGATGACCTCTACTGCCCATGAGACCCTGCCCGGGAACCCGGGCCGGGCCGTGGGTGGGCAGCAGGAGGCCCTGCCCACCTCTGAGGGCCGAGCGTTCATCAGCGGTGCCCACCCGGCTCAGATCAGCGCTGTTTCCTTTGTCCCTCTCAAGGCCCTAGCCGGCCGGGGGACAGCGGGGTGGAGAAGGGGGGCCTGGTGGCTCCTGAGTCCCCAGTCCGGAAAAGCCCGTCCGAGTATAAGCTGGAAGGCAGGTCTGTGTCCTGCCTGAAGCCCATTGAGGGCACTCTGGATATCGCTCTCCTGTCCGGGCCTCAGGCCTCCAAGACCGAGCTGCCTTCCCCCGAGCCCGCGCAGACCCCCAGCCCGGCCAGGGACGTGGGGACCCCTGTGCCACCCGCCCCCCTGGGCGGCGGGGCCTCTAAGGCGGAGACCGCCCAGAGGGAGCCTTCCCCCGCCAGCCTCAGGATGAGTAAGTCCTACCTGCTGGAGCCCCGCTTCCCAGCCAGCCGAGGCCTCCAGAACTCTCCAGGCAGCCCCTTGCCAGACCCTGAGCTGAAGCGGGACAGGAAAGCCTCCCGCGGGGCCAGGAGCGCGGTGACAGTCCCTGAAAGCGACCCCCAGCCAAGAGAGGGGGGCTGCAGCCGACACCAAGGCCACGCGCCCGAGCCGAGACCCGGCCCCTTCCTGGGGCAGGGCCCCCCCGCGGCCGAGCCACCCCGGTCCCGCGGCCTGACACCTGCTGACCGGGCGCCCTCCAGAGAGCAGCTCAGTGGGAGGGAGTCCTCCGACAGGGGCCCTCCGGCCGCCAGGGGCCAGCGGGCCAACGTCAGGGCGGACACCCCCCGGGAGCCCTCCGTGGAGTCGTGTCCAACAGAAGCTGCTAAAACCGGCGACGATTCCAGACACGTGCCCTCTGGGGCAAGGACCCACCCGGATGTCCGCGCACAGCCCCACACCGCGGAGAGGGCATGGGGGTCCTGCGGGAAGGCGAGCCACGGGGATGGCCGGGACGAGGGGAGGCCGCGGGCCCCGGAGGACCCTTGTCTGCGCTCGGCGGGGGCCCCCTGTGAGAGGGAGCCGGGCCGGGGAGGAGGGAGGGGGGGAGGAGGAGGAGGGGCAGGGGGGGAGCCCCTCCCGCGCGGTGGGCCCTGCAGCCCCCCGGTCCCGAGCACGGGAAGGGAAGGCAGCTCCCCGGTTGCCCGCCTGTGCAGAAGGACGCCCCCAAGGAGCCGGAGAGGAAGGAGCGGCCGGTGCAGCCGCGCGGGAGCAGCGGCCCCCCGCCCCCGCCCCCACCCGCCGCCCAGGAGCAGCCCGGCCCGCCGCCGCGGCCGCCCCGCGGCTCGCCCAGCCCCTGCTCGGCCGGACAGCCGGGGAGCCCGCCCGGGGCCGCGGCGCCCAGCCTGGGCCCCCAGGACGGCGCCCCGAGGTCCGCGCCCCCGGACAGGGCGCCCTCCTCGCAGAGGCCGAGCGCGGCGCCCGCTGTTGCCGGCCCCGAGGGGCAGGGCGGCGGCGGGGCGGTGCTGGGCGCGGCTCCCCCGCACGCCCAGGGGGGCCTCCTCGGCACCAGGCCGACCCCGCCCGGCGGGGGGCGCCCCCCCGACGAGCCGCCCCGGAGCGTCGCCAGCGCCGGGGAGCAGCAGAGCGCGTGCCCCAAGCACCCCAAGCCATCCACTGTGAAGGACTGCCCCGCTCCGTGCGGACAGACGGACGGGAGCGCGGGGCCGCGGGCTCCCGCCGACGGGAAGGCCGAGGGCAAGCGGGGCCCCGAAGCGCCCGACGGGCCCGCCGCCGGCCTCCCCCCGGCCCCCCGCGAGGCCAAGGCCGGGGCCCTGGGGGCGCAGACGCCGGTGGGCGGGGCGAGCAGGAGCGCGGCCACGCCCACCGCCCCGCCCGCGGCCACGCCCACCGCCCCGCCCGAGAAGTCCCGCAGCTGCTCCGCGGGCTTCCCCGGGGCGGGGGCGCGGGGAGCCGCGGGCGGCGGGGGTGGGGGCGGGGGCCGAGCCCCGATGCCCAAGAGCGACTCGCTGCCGTCCTTCCGGAGCTCGGCCGCCCTGGAGCTGCAGCAGCCTGGCCCTGCGCCGCCGCCTCCCGCCCGGAAACCGGGCGCGGCCCGCGAGGTCACCAGGGCGGCCCCCGCGCCCAACCCCGAGCGGCCCGCCGTCGCCCTGTCCCCCGAGAAGGACTTCGTGGTGCGGCAGAGGCGGGGGCGGGAGCCCCTGCGGAGCAGCCCCCACAAAAAGGCGTCGTAGCGGGGCGCCCAGGGCAGCCCCCGGGATGTGCACCTACCGTGCACCTGCTGCGCGCCTGGCCTCCACCTCCTTCCAAAGCAGCGCGGCCGCGGGCGGGGCACAGGCGGACCTCCCCCCCCCCCCCACCTGTCCCCGGTAGAACTGACACCATTCGGTGTTTGGACAAACAGCGACAACGCGGACCTTGCGGTCGAGGGTTGTCGAGGAGAAGGATGTGCGCTGTAAATACCCTCCCGCGTGTTTGGCTTGGGATGTAGAGTCGGTATCTTGCTGCTGATTGCGTTGTTTTACCACGACTTTTTTTTTTTTTCTTAATTTCTTTCTCTCTTTCTTTTCTTTCTTGGTGGGTGTTTTTCTTTTCTTTCTTCCAGTTAAGATTTTTGCTTTACCACTTAGTCCTAACCTAGTAAGGAAGCCACAGCAGTTAAAATCGGGTGTATGGAAAATGGAAAAGTCTGGCTACACTCCTGTCCGTGTATATACGCATCCAGCCACATGTTTTGGCCTGTGGTCTAGGAGGAGATTTCAAGGCTACATGTTTCTAAGTTAAAAGATTCCGAGTAGAGTTAAAGAGGAACGGAAGCCCTAGCTGCAGTAGATCGTGAGTCTGTGTGTGTGTCTTTAAAGAGAGATTTTGATAGTGCTGTATCTGGCCACCTGTGTTTCCAGATCTTAGAGCGAGAGCTACTCTGATCGTGGCGTTTGGAACCTTCCTCCGTTCGGAATGGCCGGAACCAGTGGAGCTAACCATTTTCACTTCACAGCCATCCAAGTGGACGTTCTGATCTGGGGTCCAACTGTCTGGAAGGCCCGTTGTCCTTGTCCGTAGGGGGGAATGTGCAGGGTCTTCACCCTGGCTGTCGTGGGGGCTATAAACACACGTCAACTTTATTTTTGTTACTTTCCCTTCTTTTCATGCTCTTAAACTCAGGCCTGTATGCTATGAGTCACTAGTCCAGAAGCACACATTTTGTAGTTTTTGCACCAGCCCTGCTCTTGAACAAAAAGGAAAAATCACTGGCCGCACACAAATCTGATAGTATTAAATTAAGAAGCGTCAGGCATTGGAAGAGGTTTTAAATTTGCTTTTTTTTTTTTTTGAGGGAAAACGGGGGTGGATTTTGGCATCATAGCATATATATTAATGAATAATCAGGACATCAGATACATTTTAATACATAGCTGGGGCCTTATGTTGTAGATGAAGCTTGCTGTTTTTAGCAAGTTCCTGGGTTTCACATTCATTTCTGATGCATCGAGTAGCTCCATACATTACATAACATGATCTCTTTATTTGTATGCAAAAAAAAAATACTGTATTAATAAAGAGCAGCATTTTTTAACAAAGACTTGGTGGAGCTATTTGGTGCTTGAATGTGTCCTTTTTACTTTTGCTAAGCCTTATTTAAATTTTGTATACCATGGAATATGTAGAATTCGTCAAATCATTTTAGTGCTGAGGGGGGTTTTCTGTTCGTTTTTGTTGCAGTTGTCTTGGTGGCTTGTTTTGTATTGTAAGGTGACACTTGCTGACACGAGTACTAAGGCACTAAGAGGAAATACACACAGATAAGTCTTTATAAGATGTTTGGGATCCATAGCAGGATTTTTTTTAGTTTTGTTTTTTAAGAGGGGAAAAAAATTACCAATAAATACTCATTTAGCACCCAAACCCCCTCGGAGGTCTTAGTATCTTCAAGCTATAAAATTGTTCATCTAAGCACAGCCCGTGGAGTGTAAATTATTTAGCGAGGCTGTAAACCCTGCTCTGCTCCAAAAACAAAAGCATAACTTAACCGTCTACTTGGTTGTCCTTCATTGTACAATGAGTTGGCAATGGCAAAAAAAAAAAAAAAAGTCTCCTTGCCCATGATTTTTTCCCGTGTGATTTTAGCTATATCCCATCACTACGTTGTGAAATTGCAGAAGAAACAAATACCATAAAAAAACTTAAATCGGTTTCCAAAGTGGTCTCGACATTTATAATTCATATCTGTGTTGGGTGGTTGTCATAACCCCATCCTCTGTACTCAGACATCACGACAGGTCTATCGGGGAGGTAGTTCATGGTTTACAGCCTTTGCTTTTTAACTGTCCTGTTTCCTTTAAAGCACAACTAGCTGCTTGTTTACAAATGATATTTTTATGTATATTTTGTATAGTGTATTACCATTTTTGCCAAATATGTTTTGCATTTTGGACGAGTAAAGAGTACTTAAGGTTGCATTCATGTAATACCTGTTTGTTGTTGTAAACCTCTCCAATCAGCTGGTAGAAATTCTCCTGTGTTCTATTTGGTCAGTCTCCTGTGATTGTAAGATGTGCTCCTCGGTATTACTCCCAGCTGTAGATTTACCAGCTTAAAACTTTGTTAGGATCTGTGCAATAAAGTGTTTGCAGTCTTATTTTCTCTAAGAAATTCCCTATGGATGTCATAATTGTTGTATATTGAACAAATATTTATACTTATGCAGTTGCATAACATTGAAATAAAAATTTAGCATGAAAACATAATGACTAATATGTTCTTTTCTTGTATATACACATCTCCAAAATGCTACTGAATATAACTGTATATTATGGTAAGTATGGGGTTTTGCAGATTGCTTTCTGTGGAAGGGAATGGTTTGCTAGTTTCTTTTAAAGATTTTATTTATTTGGGAGAGAGAGAAAAAGGGAGAGAGCACAAGCAGGGGGAGTAGCAGAGGGAGAGGGGGAAGTAGGCTCCCCACCGAGCAGGGAGCCCAACATGAGGCTCAATCCCAGGGTCCCGGGATCATGACCTGAACTGAAGGCAGACATTTAACCAACTGAGTGACTCAGGTGCCCCTAATTTTTTTTAACTCCTACAAATATTCTATTCTTAAAGATTAATATATTCCTATAACACCTCGCTACCTTTCTACCAACCATATGCCTTGCCTGTAAAACTTACCACCTTCCACACCACGGTCACTGCCCTCATAAAGTCTCTTCCTCAGTGACACCATCTCCTCCATTTCTCCTAAAACCTTCCTCCATCAATTAGCACCGTGCCTTGTTGTCTTTTATTTCCTCCCCTTCCTATGTCCTTCCTCATAATCAAAGCCATCGAGACCACCAGGAAGGAAAGAAGCAGCCTGACATTTATTGTCTACCTCGTATATATACACGTCGTGCTGGGCAGGATGCTTTTCATCTCCCATGTCATTTGAACCCCAAACCAGATGGCGGCGGCAGCCCCATTGTACAGGTGAGCAAACACCCAGAGAATCTATGTCATTTGTTTAATATACACCCTGGAAAGAGGATTAGGATTAGAATCCAGATTTTTTTTTTCGGGCCCTAAAGGCCTCGACCTTTCTAAACGGTACCAGGTGTCCTGTGAAGTCAGATCTGGGCCCCTCTGAATGATCTAAGCCATCCCATTGTCTCTTTCTTCACGTGGCAAAAAATCACAGGGCGCAAGATTACATGTGTGATGATTGGTGGGAAACCACGAGCCAAGGAAGCTAATCGTTTTCTGTAATAGGGCTCCTTATTAATTCTAATTAATAAGTAGGCAATCATCTAGCACTTTTGCTTCACCACACAAACATAACATGAAAAAGTGTCACTAATAACTACAGAAATCTGCTTCCTTCAATACAGGCCAGGCATTAAGGAACTCAATGGTAGGGCAGCTCTCTAAATTTAATTTCCCACCTACCTGTATGGTTTTAACTTACTCCTAAAAGCAGTTATTTGTGTTATTCCTTTCTTTTTCCAGTTCTCCCCCCACCCCCAACGAATATTGTACATGTCTTACGTATCTGCGAGAGTTAGAAGTGACCACAGCTTGGTTGAACCTCGGTTCACACTACTTTTTGCACACTAAAAGGCAGTCACTCTGACCCAGGTTCCCGTACTAGCAGTTCAGACCCCTTGGGCTGTGGGCTGGAACCTTGGCGCCTGTCCTCACAGAAAAACATGCAACAACTTGCCCCTGATGTCTGGGACCCTGCCTTCCAGAGACCAGGTGGACGGCTCTTCCGCAGGCTGACGTTGGGACTGTCAGTCCCAGCAGGTGCATGCAGGCCAGCGCTTCAAACAGGGAACCTGCTCTGGGAACTTGAGTGCCCCGTGGACTCGGTGACATGCCCGTCAAGTCTATCCGGATGCAGAGAAAAGAAAGTTCTGCTGTGCGTGGCTGCTAGGTGCAGCCGCCGCCCCGCGCAGCAAGAAGCCTATCAATGCTGCAAAGCTGGAAGCTGCTGAGTGTGGCCTGTTAGGTTCAGCGCCGCCTGGAGCCTGCCGTCAGTACGAGGGAGATGGAGCTGTTGCGAGGCCTGGGGCAAGCGCGTTGCAGTTCCCAGATCTTCACATGTCAGGCTGGCAGGGCCATAAGCTCCAGCCCTAGGACGTGTCTAAGTAAAAATCCTTGGCCTGAAAATTCCGTCCCTCCGGAGTACACGTGCGTGTCCAATGGGGCCACGCCGACCGGGCCCTCCCGGCCGGAGGCAGGATCGGGGTGACGGCCAACTGG